GGTAGGTACAATTTGGCGGCCAAATGAATGGCTATTAGTTTTGTTCAAAGCTTTAGGGTTTTAATAAATAATCAGAAATTCTTTTTAAATAATGAATTACTTTTAATTAATTAATTTAATTTATTTGAATGTACGTTTATCTTTATGTGCTGTTACAATTATTAGAGAGGTCTAGAAAAAGTAATTCATAAGTAATTCCCTTCTGCTTTTTCATTTCACTTTATATATTATTAATTTATTGACATTTTTTATTGTATTATTAGGAAAGAATATTGAATTTGGGGTATATGAAACGCATTAAAAAATTAATGTTATTATTTATGTAAGAAAATCATTGTTTCCTCTATATCTACGGAAAAGTAGTGCTTAAATGGATATCTGAAACAGTAAGAAATGCAGCATCCATTAAAATATGTTAATAAAACTTTGCTATTTACTATATTTTATTAAAATTTGAAAAGGTCAATTTTGGTTTTTAATTTTTAGGCGTTATATTGATATTTGATGCCATTAAATAGATTAAAGGAACAAAAATTCGTTGATGTACTACATTTATACTTAAACATACTTATACTTATGTATGTTATATACTTATGTATAATGCTTGAGTTGCTCTTGGTTTATAAATATACGTTTATAATATTTCTCCTATATATGACATCACAAATCTTAAAAATTAATAAAATCTATTTTTGTTCCACTAAAAGGTAAAATAAAACTCCAGTTAAAAAAATGTCTAAAGCCAACTTTTTAAAAATCATATAAATGCGTACCAATAAACTAAAAACGCATCAGCTGCTTTTTGCAAACACCAAAATTTAACATACAATAATTTTAATTTGAAATTATAAAATTTAACACTGGATAATAATTATCATAAATTGGCAATAAAATAAGTGATTCGTATTGAAAAGGAAACAAATGCTGTAAATGATCGATAAGATATTAGTAATTTAAATCAATTATGCCACGTTTTAATAACATTATCTAAACTAAACATCAAATCAACTTTCTTACAATAATAATTTAATGTTAAAAAAAAACCAACAATTAAATAAACTGAACAGCACATTATGAACATTAATATCAATTGTTTGGTACTGCTTACAAAATTTTGATGTTTTGTACAGAGGCGTCGCTAAATGGGGCCGGGTGCCTCTTATTTTGCTCCAAAACTTATTTTTTGGATAATTGTATTTTTTAAACAGTTTTCCATAAAAAAGGTACCCTTATTTAAAGTAAAAAAAAAAATGTTTTGCAATTGTTTAAGGTTTTAGTAATTAATACCGACCGAATTATTAAGTAATTGTGGCCCCTTTTGTATCTTCTAAAGGATGCGTTACTTTTTAATATTAGAAACCCTGCGGAACGTTTATAGTCCTTTGCCTCACTGTCGAAAATAAAAAGAACCACAGAGTTGTATCTACCTACTTATATTTTTGTTCTTGTAACAGGTAGAATTTTCATAAAAATTTGGCGCCACTAAATCACTTGTAATGTTTTATTGAAGAAACTTGCAATTTCACAACTGGGCCTGCTTTTTATAAAAAGTTAAAATCAAAGAACTCCGATTGCTCCCAAACCTGTGCAGTAATATCCCGAAAATGTCAAAGTGGCTCTGATCCGTGGGACAAGAAACTCACGTGGTGACGCTTCCCGCAGGCTAGATCGGTGTATAATTAGGTATTTTAGTTACAGAAGGGAGTAGAAAAATTAAAATAACGAAGATTTTTCCCACTTTTACTTAAAAAAAACACATAGTGGGTAATTAGTATTAGTATTAATAAAGTTAGTCATCTGAGTATTGTTTACAAACATGGAATTGATCAAATAATGCAAAGAGTTTATAATGACTTTTGGACTCAAATTTATTTTGTATCAGTACCGTGCAAAGGAAAATTTGAAATTTTTTTCCCGTTTTGATTCTTTGAAATTATAGTAAAATTCTTTGAGGTTTTTATTTCTGCAGTGAAATCTTAGAAATTATTAAAATTGGAAATTAATAGTATTTTATGTCTGATTTTAGATCATTTAAATTTTGTGTTTTTTCCTGATAGGCGTTTGTTTTTAAATATTCATTCAATCGATCGATCCCCTTCTACCAATTCACTCTCAGTTCGTGTTTAATCTCGTGTTCTCATTAGTTTTTAGACGACCTGGCCGTGGACGAACTTTTCTTATAAATTTTCTCTTAAACTCACTGTGGATCTTGTAATGGGTCTTTCTGGATATGATACAAATTATAATTTTTTTTTTGAGTTCTTCGTCTTGTCTCCATATCAAATAAAAATTAAAAATTCAATTCTCAATTTTAGCAACTTAGATTTCCCTTTTTTATAATATTGCTCACAAAAAGTAAGAGATGGGTATGCAACATGAATTATGCGTGAAGTTTGGCACAAATTTAAAAATGGATTAAAAAAAAATGTTTCGTTTAACAAAAGGAACTTATATTTTCATCTGTATATAGAAAAAAAAAATTACCCAGATTGTTTGTTTTATTTGATAAAAATTAAAAAAAAAATACGAGCGATCCTTAGTTGGAACAAATCCTGACTACCTACCAAACTAATTTTTGCGAAAGTAAATAATATTAACTATACGGAGGGGAGAAACTAATTTAGGGAAGAGACTAATTAATAATCTAAAACAAAATTGCGGCATGCACAGTTTATTTGTGTTGAAATAATGTCTAATAAATTATTTACTAATCAGTAATTATTATTGTCAATGTTGTACTTCGCAATTGCAATTATGTCCTGATCCAAGGTCTGACAAACAGAGACCGAAAAATAATCCTTGTATTTTCTAAAACCAGTTCTTTTGAGGGTGATCCAGCATTATTGACATAAAACTATATTTTTCGCTCTGGAAATCCAATTTTTTGTCCATGTCCAAAAGTCATTATTGATCTTGTCATCCACGCTTTCTTGTTAGAATCCCCTGTAGGAGATAAACTAGCGAATGAGACAATTTTCAATGCTCGAGGTCGACCCGACAATTACAGGTTTTTATTTTTCCCTAGCCATATTGACACCATTTGACATTTGCTCTCGCCGCACTTTTCGCTTTTTGGTGTAAACGTTTTATAAAGCAGTGCCCTGAAATGCAAGCTACTATCATATGCATTATAGATATCCTCTGATTTATAGCCAACAACATTGATGGTAACTTTTATAAAAATTGGTCCTCATCTTCCTAGTTTACTGACTCACCTGCGATTCGCTGTTAGCACTTAATGATGCATGCAATAAAAATTAGAACAACACACATATATACATATATATATATATATATATATATATATATATATATATATATATATATATATATATATATATATATATATGTATATATATATATATATATATATATATATATATATATATATATATATATATATATATATAAATATATATATATATATATATATATATATATATATATATATATATATATATATATATATATATATATATATATATATATATATATATATATATATATATATATATATATATATATATATATATATATATATATATATATATATGATGACACTATACTCCGGGATATCATCCGTTCGCTCGTTGAACTCCGACTGGAATCCTGCATCCGACTGGAATCCTGCAGACGTTTCGCCAAAATCTCACTTGGCATCTTCAATGCTCGCGCTCCGAAAACACTTCGAAGTGTTATATATATATATATATATATATATATATATATATATATATATATATATATATATATATATATATATATATATATATATATATATATATATATATGTGTGTGTGTGAAGATGCCAAGTGAGATTTTGGCGAAACGTCTGCAGGATTCCAGTCGAATGCAGGATTTGCAGGATCCCAGTCTGATGCAGGATTCCAGAAGGAGTTCAACGAGCGAACGGATGATATCCCGGAATATAGTGTCATCATATATATATATATATATATATATATATATATATATATATATATATATATATATATATATATATATATATATATATATATATATGTATGTATGTATGTTCTAATTTTTATTGCATGGACAATAGTTTAACATATTATCACAATTTTTTCATGTAGATTCACCTATTTAAATATTCGCATATCATTAAATAACACCCTGATCGTCTCAGTATGGGCGTACTAGTTAAATTAATGCCAAGTACAACTGATTCTGTCTATCTTACTCCCAAGCAGAGTTCGAATGATTTTAATCAAGTGATTTAAATCACTTGATTTTTTAAATTTAAAATCAAACTCTTTTTTTAAATCTTTTTTTATTGAGACGAACACAAAAAGTACAACGCAAAAGTATTATCACAAATAAAAAGTAAAAACACAACCCTTTTAAAAAATAAGACATATAATATACACTCTATGCTTCTGCGTTTTCGTTGTATTTTTCGAACAAAAATCCTGATAATTTTTTTTTTACAAATCGTTCTTCATGCAGATTTATTTGGATCTGTTGTTTTAATATAAAACTTTCATATGCTATTCTCCTTTCTTCCAGCTATTTACATGTTTTCACCTAATGCTCTATTTTCAACTAGTTCCACTCCTTTGACAAACCACCAACTTAACTTGCGAGACGTATTCGACGACCATTTACAGATCGGCAAAAAACTGGTCGTGAGGAAATTTTCTTGCAAAAAACGCGTTCTGACGAATACTTAGTTTGTATATTGTACTATGTTGTTTATAGTGGCTTTAACATATGTTGTAATTGCAAAAAAAAAACGGCAAACACATGCATAATTTTATGAAATTAAAAAAACATCAATTAAAATCAATAAATTTATGATTAGTGAGGGTTGTTTTGCATTGATCAGATAGACATTTAAGGTCGAACATCTGTTGAAGTATAAGTGGAAGCAAGATGAAAAATATCTAACATTTTATTGACGACTATGCCATCACAAATCGTACCGATTATATATAATAAAATAACCTCCTCGTCTAACCATTCTCTTTTTTTTATTCCAGGTGTAGTGATGATGCCTCCCCGTTGGCCGTCTAAACAGCCGCCGTTCGTATCACTTTGTACAACCCGGAAGCGTAAATTTAGCGATCGAGATCGTGCGGCGTCATCATGAGTAGCAGCAAAGAGCAGCAGCGTCATATCTTCGATCGAAATTCGCCCCGACCTCCGGTACCCGGAGAGGAAAAATCGCATTTCTTGTCGGATTGGGGCTCGTCCACTATTGCCCAGCATCCACCGTGCGAGGACCTCGACTGCGGCAAGTTCGTCAAGCCCGCTTCACCCCCCTTGCCGAAGCGAAGTTGTTCGTTTCGGAACGGTAAGGCGAATTTTCCATGTTTCGGTCATTGAGCGTAACTAACCAAATCGGCCACTCAATACCTGTCTGCACAACGCTACAAGACAAGTCGAATACATCCCACGAAGACAAAACATCTTTCATTCCACAAGACAAAGACTATACATACCGAACATTTCCCTTGGATACGATTAGTAAACTACTTGGCCAATTATAGCCTGTACCAAATTATAGCGTTGAAGAAACTTTTTTAAAATTTGGTAGAACCAAAAAAAAAATCTGGAAAAGAAAAAAAAAACCATTAATTATTATTGATTTTGTCCTTAATAAATAAATAATAACTCTTAGATTCGATAACTAATTTCAAGCCTGGTAAGCATACACTAAAATATAGTGTGTCAAAAGTAATATATTAGATGTAGGATTGTTATGGTCTATTTTTTTGTCCAAAATGCTCTGTTTGATACCCTATATTTTTGACGCCGTTTCCGATAGCTGCAATTTTATTATGTCAACAATTTTATAATGTGGTATACAGTAATTTATCCTCTAGTTCTCTTGAAATTGTTCGATTCCTTTATACAGGATGAGCCAAAATGGAATTATCCTTCCATTAGTTACTCCTATTAATGCTCTTTCAATTTTATTAAGCATTTCCTATACCTAAACTTTGTATTTTTTGAGGTATACTCCAGTCAGAGCAGTTGTGCAGTTTCGTCATGTATAGTGACGTAATCAAAAATGATCCGTATGTCTTAGCTATTGCTATTGCTACCACTTTTAGATGCGCTCCGATTTTAATTAATTCATTAGTCTAAAGTAGGTTCGTTCGGATATGCAATCCAAAAAACTAAATTAACATTCTATTTTGCATTGGTTTTTGCAACATGGTAGTTAGTTATCCGTCATATAATGGTAATTCGCAAAGAGAGTTAGGTACATATTATTTTGTTATGATGAGATTATGGCAACTTGGTTCAGTGACGTATTTATACGAACGGACAAAATAAGGCGCATCAAATATATGGGAGAAAACAAATATCAATTATATAGGTTTATTTTTGAAAAACTCCCAATACTTCAATAACAAGAACAACGAAAACGTAAAACGCAAAGAGCAAAGAAGGGGAAAAAAACTAGTCATCATCGGAAAAAATATCTTCTTCTTCTTTTTCTTTCTTCTATAGTAGGCCTATGGCCTGTCCCTTTATCGGTTGCCTCTCAACCTGGATTGAGATCGTCGTTCCATCTTTTTCTCGGTCGTCCCACGCTCCGTCTTCCGTCTGGTCTCTAACGATTTTTACTAGTCTGCCATCTTGCATACGGTTAATATGATCATTCCACTGTGTTTTCCTTTGGAGCACCCAGTCGTTCACGTTGACCACTCCGCACGATTGCCTGATGTTTTCGTTTCTTTCTCTGTCTAGCAGTGTTTTTCGTGAGATGCGACGGAGAATCTTCATTTCCGTAGTCTCCAGAAGTCGTCTGTTTTTGCGGTATCTGATCTTGTTTCTGCCGGTCACGATCGGTCTGATTGTTGTTTTGTAGACTCGTACTTTTGTATGTTTTTTCAGATGTTTGTTTCGCCAAATTACATCGTTTAGGCAGCCTGCCACTTTATTCGCTTTTGCTACCTGTTGCCTCACTTCGCCCTCCACATTTTCATAACTGGTAATGTCAATACCCAGATATTTAAACTCCATCTCTTGTTGAATTACTTGCCCGTCCAGTTCCAGTTTACATCTGAGCGGCTCTTTTGATGTGGTCATACATTTCGTTTTTTGGGCTGAGATAGTCATGTTAAATTGCTTGCCTGTGCGGTTGAAGATGTTTAAAAGTCTCTGCAGATCGTCTTCGTTCTCTGCGCATATCATTGCATCGTCTACATAGCAGATGATTGTCACTTCATCATTACCCATTCTGTCCCTCTACCCAAACGAACTTTTTTTATCACTTCACCCATAATTATTAAGAGAGTCTACCAGTCTGATAACGTTGTTGGCCTGGATATGTTTAGTTAACTTGTTATTAATACGAGCTTGGATGTTATTGTTCAAGTATATGTTTTCTATCGTCTGGACAATATTTATGGGTATATTTCTGTTATACAATAAATGTATTACATCTTCAAGTTAAACACAATCAAATGCCTTTCTGAGATCAATGAAGCATAGGTAGGCTGGTTTATTATATTCTATGGATTTCTCTATTATCTGTCTTAAGACAAAAACTGCATCCACGCACGAGCGTCCTCTTCTAAACCCTTGTTGTTCATATTGTAGCGACGTAAGACCATTGATTTTGTTGGTAATAACTTTTGTGGTGAGTTTGAGTGTTGTATCTAGTATGTGTATGCCCCTGTAATTGCTCAGCTCCTGCTTATCTCCTTTCTTGAACATAAGTATCATTGTGCTAGTTCTCCATGGGTCTGGTATTCCGCAGGTGTTTAGGATATTTTTGATGAGCTTTGTTAGTTCTTCTGTTGGGCGTTGACCACCATACTTCAACAGTTCATTGTATAGTCCGTTCTGCCCAGGAGACTTTTTGTTTTTTAAAGATTTTATGGCTTCAGCTACCTCATCACTGCCTACTTCCGCGTCATGCTGGATACGTGGTGCGTCAGTTCCTCTATCGCTACCTAGCGATAGAGGAACTGACGGAACGGAGCTGTTCGGAGGAATACCTATTCCTCCGAACCATATAATAATTTTCAGAAGCTTAAATTGCTCGTTCATAAAAATGAAATGGTTTTTAGCATAGAGACAGTAAATACTTGCATTGTGTACAGCGTTTAAGAGTAAAAGTGGTTTCTCCTCATTTTTTTCACCAAATCGTTGGGCATTTTGAAACGATTTAATTATCCGCTAGATTTAAAAATCTTGATCTTTTCAAACCGCCCGAAAATATCACAAAAGATTGAGCACAAAATAATTACCTAAACGCGAGAAGTCGACAGAGGCGAATTATTAGCAAATAGTAGCACTCGTTACATGTTATTAGAAAATATCATTTAATAATATTTTGGACTTTAAGAAAGACAGAATTTCTAAATTAATGGAAAGACTGAAAACATTTTTTTTTTCACAAAATTAAAAATGTACCAATTTATTTTTATTTTTCTTGGGTGAGTTTAGGTATAGGGAATGCTTTATAAACCTGAAAGAGCGTTAATAGGAGTAACTAATGGAAGAATAATATACAGGGCGTTCCATTTTATTTTTTTCGCGAAAGTGAACATTTTCCATTTTTACTCATTTTGTACAAAAACAAACCAGAACTAACTTCAAGACAAATAGAGCATAAATGACTGTACTACTTTATAAAATTGTTTAAATAATAAAATTACAGCTGTCGGAAATGGCGCCACAAATATAGGGTGATTGATTATAAAAGGGAGTTTCACTTATCTATCACTTTTGTTTTTTTTTTTTTAATAAATAATAAATGAAATATACTAGGTTGGTACATTATTTGGACACGCCGTGGATATAGAAACTAGGAAAGAATCATCAGGAATTGATAAAGTTGAAATTATTAATTGTTTTTCAAATCTATTATTATTGATTTCATCTATAGTTATTTCAGTTGTAATTAATGTCTTGAAAGTGTTCTATTTTTAAGCAATTCCATTATTGTTTATGAAGCTGTTGCAGAGAGTTGCAGTGGCTTGGTTCATTCCGTTTCTGGTTGAGTGAGGATGTTCATAATTTCTAATAGGAAATTTATTTAAAACGATTTGGACTGCTATTTTGTGGAAATAGAGTTGTTGTGCACCGAGAATATTTATCCCTTTTGTAAATAATTTTGAAAATCCATTTTTGTCAAATGTTAATTCCATCTAAATATTTTTTGTCAACCCACCCCATGCTAAAATTCCGTAATTTAAATGCGATATATAACTCAAAATTTTTTGTAAAAAATCTGAAAATTGGTGATCTAAGTTTATTTGCGATATATTCGGAGTGGTGGTCCCATCTCAAATGACTATCAACAATAATGTCAAGGCGTCTCGAATCAACTTGAAATTAAGGGCTATGAAATAATGGAAATTTATTTTTATTATTTATGCTGTTTATTGTTGTTAAACCATTTTATGTATTCTATAAAATTACCTTGTATTTTGTGTTTTAAATGTTCCCAAGCATCAACCTCATAGTAAATATCTGCATCGTCTGCTGATGCAGTAGCGCCTGCATCATTTATTAATATAAATAATAATATGAATGAGCCAAGGCGATTCTGCCCGTCAATTCTAAATTATCGCTCACAGCAGCATTTATTTTCCCAATGTCAAGTGTATTTTTTTTAATTCCGAATCTGCTCCTGAAAAACCAATATTTTTTTCATTTTTTTTTCGGGAAACTGTTCACTTATAATAGATTGCTTAATTAATTGAGAGCTTCTTTGAAATATTTTGCTTTTTTTTTTAAGAAATTTTCATGTTAGACCATCAAACCACAGCGTTTTTCTTGGTTTTAGTGAGTTTATTTCTTTTAGTACTTCAGTTGTATTTGTTTTTGTATTTTGTATTTTTATTGTAAGATTAAACTGAATTTTGTTGTCAATAATAGTTTCTTCAAATTTGGATTCGCCATTTTAATGTTTTCGGCCAAGTTTTTACCCACAATACAAAAGTAATCATTATCAGATTTTGTTATTTGTTTTATTTTACTCGCATTTAATTTAAGATTTTTGTTTGTAGCGGATTTAAAGTAATTCCTTACTTTGTTTGCGCAATTAATGCTTCTATTTAGTTTGTGTTTGTAATAGTTTATCTTGGCCTGTTTTAACTAATCGGTTACTGAATTTTGGCGATTATTCTGCATATTTTTGTATAGTAGGTTTTTATTTAATGTTGACCTTATTAATGCAGGTGTTGTTATATTTCTTCAGAACTTTTTCTCTTCTCTCTATATTAAAGATAATAAGCATTCCATCACAAAATACACTTTACCACAATCTTTCAATAGCAATGAAACAGAAAGCAATCCCTCACTTGCCACTGTTCCTTATATTCAAAACACTGCTGACCACATGTCAAAAGTTCTAAAGAAATATAACGTCAGAGCCAGATTTACCACTTGTCCAAAATCTCTCAACATCTTTGATCCGTTAAAGATATTTGAGATGCCAGGAATTTACAGCATTCCATGCATATGCGGCAAAGAATACATTGGAGAGACCCGATGAAAAATATCAACTAGGCTCAATGAACATGAGAGCCCTAAGACTCAATCACAAAATCGGACATAAAATTTTATTCGATAAAACTAAAATTCTTGATTGCAATCAATTCTTCTAACAACGAAAAATCCGAGAGTCTATAGAAATCTATAAGCAACCTAACAATCTTAACCGCGACTCAGGTCTCTACCTGTCACCAATATGGGAATCAGTCGTCCGAGACTGTGTTTATGCCGCTCATTGAGCTCCGCGCCTCTCAGATAATATAAAAGGAGGTACAGAGTAAAATGCGAGCCAGTTTCAGTCAAATTCTGAAGAAGCCAACAGGATGATTGGCGAAACGTTAGCTGCTAGTTCGAGTCAACAAAAACCGACGCTGGAGGAATCGATAAGTTTCATAATAAGTAGTGTATTATGCAATAAGTGCGGTAAACGGACTCACTGCCGTTTAATAAACGAGTAACTTAAAAAGTTTACCGAACGTATTGCACACTATGCTTTTTCTACGACCGTTGGTTTTTGGGTACATTTTTGCAAAACAACACGAATATATTCACTGACATGACTGTCAGAATTGACAAACGTCAAAATTCAATTCGTGCGGTAAAATCTCCATGGCTCCCAAAACCGTGCGGTAATATCCCGGAAATGTCGGTGTGTAATTCGGTATTTTATAGACGGGAGTAGAAATAGGAGCTTGCTTCATGAACGCTGCATTCAAAATAGTATATTATGCAAGAAGTGCGGTAAACGGCATTTGACTCACGAGTTTATTTGACACGAGCGGAGCGAGTGTTTAATAAACGAGTGACTTAAAAAGTTTACCAAACGTGTTGCATGCCACACTTTTTCTACGACCGTCCGTTTTGGTTCGCAAAACAACACGAATACATTCATTGACATGACCGTCAGAATTGACCAACGTCAAAATTCAAGGCGTGGGAAATATCTCCGAAAACATCCGATTGCTCCCAATCCCGTGCAGTAAAATCCTGGAAATGTCCGAAGTGGCTCGGATCCGTGGGATACGAAACTGACGTTGTAAAGTGACACTTCCCACACGCTCGATCGGTGTGTAATTAGGCATTTTACAGACGGGAGTAGAAAAATGTATTGACAAAACATTCTTAAATTGTCAATGTGAAATTATCATTGTTTTTATTATTACTAAATAGAAAAGCTCAAGATTTATAGGTAATGTGCTTGAGGTTTATGTCCATAGAATAAACAAATATACTATTCAAGTCAAGATTTAACTTGTTTAGAGAACGTTTTAAGTCCTTTATAGAAAAAGAAATCTAAATTTGGGAATCATCCGAATATATGTATATTTGATACATACATATCTCCTACATAAAGACTAAACAATAAAGGTCCCAAAATCGAACTCTGGGGCAATCCAGTAGTGATTGGGATATAGTTAGATTTTTCCAGATTAAATTGCTTTCTAACTTCAACACAATGCGATTTATTGCTCAGATAATGCTCCATGAACTTAACAGATCTGGCTGAGAAACCGAAATAATTACGTTTTGCTATGTCGTGATTAATTGTGTTGAAAGCTTTACTAAAATCCAAAAGCCAAATAGGTGACTTCCATCCTATCTTCATTATAGCGAATTTCATTCAGTAACTTAACTAAACTAGTAGTTGCATTAAAATGTGGTCTAAGCCCTTATTGACGAGCTTGAATGATTTTGGCCAAATTTACAAAAGTAAACATTTGTTGGTAGATATGCCTCTGTATTATTTTTGATAAAACTTTATATATTTTTTTGGCTTACTGGTATTTCATATTTTAACAACTGGTTTTATGATGGCTTTTTTCCAAACAGTGGTACAGCTGTTAATAATATTTATTAAATGATTTATACAGTCACGTTTGCGGGTATTCTGTTTATAATCCGTAATAATTCATCTAAAACACTATTAACCACTTGAGTGCAGAATGCAATATTTATTAAGTACTTTGAGATTACATAATTCCTCCGGGATTGTTTGTTTTGTTTTTTTGCCGAAGGGTGTTTAAAATATGAAACCTTCTCCCTAAAAAGCGCATGCTTAGAAGTCCTAAGTTCCCTGCAGGCCTGAAATCTAGGCGTTTTATTTTTAATATATTTTAGATGCGCAATATCCCTTAGTTTCATTAAAAGCTTAATATTATCTGTTATCCACGGGTGCTTCTCTTTAATCTTCCTTTGCTTTAACGGCTCGTGCTTATTGATTAAATACATTATATTATTATTTAAAATTTCTAATTTGTGGTCTATATTTTCAGTATTAAAAATTAAATTCTGTTGTGAGTGTATTGCGTCCGAGTGAAATTCTCAAGATTCATTTCATTATAGTTACGGGACTGAATAATTTATTTTTACCGCAAAATACTAGCTTATATATCACGGCCTCTCTTGCAGACTCCTTAACCACCGGTCACACGTCGGATAGTACTAGTGCTTCCTGGTCGCAGCAGTCTTTCCAGCAGCAACCATCGTCTTCCGGCAGGCCGCAGACCCGCCATCACTCTCCTCCTCCACCGTCGTGCCTGAAATGGGCGCATTCCTTGCAGGACCTCCTGCAGGACGGAGACGGAGTCAAATTGTTTCGGCATTACCTCGAGACCGAGGGCAAGTACCACGCGGACGCTCTGGACTTTTGGTTCGCCTGCGAGGGCCTCAGGAAGCAGGACGGTCCCGACAAGATACAGCAGCTAGTTAAAGTTATTTATAAGTAAGGTCATATTGGTCAGCATGTTTTATCGTATAGGAGTGTTATCGATATTCAGTTCGATCAAGTTCAGTTTTCAAAAAGGTTTTTTTCAACCTTATCCTATCCATCTAACCAAACTAACTATGATGCATAAAGCAATTTATCAAAGAAACTTCCACAAGCTACTATGTATTTACAAATTTTCTGGATTCCCCATGCATCGGTTGTTTATAAATCAAACTTGCTGACTTTTCGCCAATGATCATGAAATTAATTTAGTGCTCTGGAAGAAATTTAGGTTTGAAAACACTTACATTTATTGAAAATGAAAAAAATATATGTCAAAAAAAAAAGTCAAATTAAAAAAAATGAAAACACAAAATTAGGTAAACATATTAATAATCACTCCAATTTGTTTTCTTTAGCATTGCAATAAATTATGCAAATATTGGAAATATGTGCCTAGTCGCCAGTTTCTTATGGAATGCCACCTTATGGCAGAACCTGTACAAATTATTTAAAAAAAACACAATATTTTTAAACTGTTGTACTTCTCTATTTACAAGGAGTTTTTTTTAATTACTCGGAACTTCTTCGCATATTTCATATGTAGGGTGTTCGAATAGTATGTCAAAATAATATATCTCGTTTATTATTTATTTTAGAAAAAAAGTTACATGCAAAAATATTAGTTGAGACCGAAAGAAACAATTTAAAATTATCAAAATGAATCAAGTATAATTATTTCAGATAATAGCATTCGTTACATATTAATACAATATGTAATGTAATTTAATATAAAATTAAATAAAGTAAATTATCATCATCATCGCGTGCCGTCTTCAGTGAAGGTTGGCGATCACATTGGCAAATGCTTGTCTATCCTGTGCCGTTCTTATTACTTGTTCAAAGTTTAGGCCGGTCCAGTTTCTGATGTTTCGCATCCAGGACAGTCGCTTTCTTCCTAAACCCCTCCTTCCTTCCAGCTTTCCCTCAACTATCAGTCGTGGCAACTCATACTCTTCGTGCCTGAGTAGGTCTCCTAAGTATGATGTTTTCTTTACTTTTATGATATGTAGTAGCTCTCGCTCACCACCCACTCTTTGAAGTACTTCATCGTTTGTAATTCTGTCTGTCCAAGGGATCCTCAACATTCGTCTGTAGCACCAGAGTTCAAACGCCTCCAATCTATTCATCATGGCCGCCTTCAGCGTCCATGATTCAACGCCGTACAACAGGATAGGCCAGACGTAACATCGTACCAGTCTCAGACGTAGGCCCAGGTCCAAATATGAATCAGAGAGGAGCCGCCTATATCGCATAAATGCCTGGCGCGCTTGCTCAATTCTAGTCCTTATTTCGTAATCGGGGTTTGTGTCTCTTTCAATCCAGGAACCCAAATATTTAAAATGATTTACCATTTCTAGGACTTCGCCGTCTATTTGCAATGGAATCGGGATATTCTGATTTTTGCTAATTACCATTGTTTTTGTTTTCTTAATGTTGATCTTCATCCCATATTGTGAGCATGCTCTTTGAACGCTATCAATAATATTCCGAAGCCCGATGTCTGTGTCGGCCATCAGAACCGTGTCATCAGCATATCTTATGTTGTTGACAGTTTCCCCATTTACTTTGATTCCATCTGAGATATTCTCTAATGCGAATTTAAACAGCTCCTCCGAGAAAACATTAAAAAGAATCGGTGACAATATGCATCCCTGTCGTACTCCTTTACAAATCTCTATTTCCGCAGATGTAGTATTTTTTGTTCTTAGTTTTGCTATTTGATGCCAATAGAGATTCTTTATTAATTGAATGTCCTTTCCATCGATTCCCACGTTGACAAGGGAGTTTAGAAGGCCTGTATGTGGAACTCTATCGAATGCCTTTTCGAAGTCAACAAAGCATATGTATAGGCTCTTCTGCTGGTCCATGCATTTCTGAGCCAAAACTTGCAGGCTAAACAGTGCTTCACGAGTGCCCATGCCTCTCCTGAATCCAAACTGTTCTCTTGAGATTACCTGCTCGCATTTCTCCCGGATTCGATTGTGGATAATTCTGAGAAGGATCTTCAGGGCGTTGCTCATCAGACTAATCAACCTAAAGTCATTGCATTGACGAGGATTCGGCTTTTTGGGAATGGGAATGAATGTAGATTCCAGCCATTCTGTCGGAATTTTACCAGATTTATATATTTGATTAAGTAGTTTTAAGAAGAGATCCAAGTTTTCTTCATCAATTAACTTAATAACTTCTGAGTAAATATTGTCAGGTCCTGGGCTTTTATTGTTCTTTAGTTGGTTGATAGCGCGTTCAAGTTCACATTTAATTATGGTAGGACCTTCGTTATTATTGCTAGTGGATGGCTCTTCTCTTAAGTCGGCAAATAAGTCTAGGATATAATTTTTCCATATGACTATTTCCTCAGAGATGTCTTTTGCTTGCTGGTGGTTATTATCAAACAGTCTATATGGTGCTTGTCGCTTATTTGCTCCAGATAATTCTTTAATTTTTTTGTGCAGGTTGAAACCATCATGTTTACGCTGTAGGTCTTCTAGTTCCTCACACCTTTCCCTCATCCAGTTCTCTTTTGCTTCTCTGATTTTCCGCTGAATAATTGAATGGATGCGTCTATATTCTGTTGGGTTTTTGTTTTTGCATTCCCGGCGCTTGTCCATTAGATCTAGAATTTCTCTGGTCATCCATTCTTTCTTTTTCTTAGTCTCTGACTTAAGGTGTTCAGTTGTGACCTCCTTTAGTATATAAGATATTTCAGTCCAGGTCGCGTCAATGTTATCTGCTGTCCGCTGGCCTCGGTTAATTCGTTGGAGGTTGGCGTTAAGCTCGATCTGTAAGGAGTTTTTCTTTGCCTCTTGTTTTAATTGTTGCACATCAACTTGTGGTGTTGGTTTTCTTTTCTTCGTGAGCTTGAGTGTCATAGAGAAATCAATTAGCACAGGATTATGATCAGATCCTATGTCAGCGCCGGGGTACGTCTTTGCATTTTTGACTGAGCTGCGGAATCTCTGGTTCACCATGATGTAGTCAATCTGGTTTCGCACTATGTTGTCATTATTGTGTTGGGGAGATGTCCACGTGTATAGTCTTCGCGGGGGTTGCTTGAACAAGGTATTTAAGATTACAAACTTGTTTTCCTGACAGAACTCTATTAGCCTGTCCCCTCTGTCATTTCTTTGCCCCAATCCAAAGCTCCCAACCATCTCCGACGAGCTTCCCTTTCCGACCTTCGCATTTAGGTCCCCCATAACAAAGGTAACTTCTTCCTTTCGCGTGTAACTAAGTAATTCCTTGAGGTCACTATACCATTTCTCAAGCTCATCCAGTGGTTTGTCGCCAGTCGGAGCGTATACCTGAATCAAATTAATATTTACAGGCTTTCCAGTTAGTTGTATGAGCATGCATCGGTCAGATAATGGTACGAAACCTACAACCGAGGCCGCTATATTGGAATTCAGCAAGATGCCCACTCCATGTCGATGGCTGGGATCATTGTTTCCCGAATAATAAAAGGTTTTGTTTGAGGTCGTGATCGATCCTGAGCCGGGCCATCGCGTTTCACTAATTCCAAGGATATGTATACCAAGCCTGTCCATCTCATGGCAGGCATTTGCCAGCTTACCTCCCTCAAACAGTGTTCGCACATTCCATGTCGCTATTTTGTAAGTGTGGTTCATAGTTTTTAACCCGGGGATTCTTCGCACCCTCTGACCATCGAAGGTCTGCCGGGGACTGAGGGCCATTCTTTGTGAGTTTCTTGCCATTGTGATATACGCGGGAAAATAATGGGGTGGTTTCCCGTTGCCTTCCCCATCGCAGTATGAAGGCCATCTAATACTGTTACAGTCGAGCCCTTCACTGTCCTCCCCTAAACCAGTCCAAGATCATTCCTTTTGTGCTTCAGCTCGGTACTGAAAATGCTGCTGCCCATCTCCAGGCTGGATTTTGGTTCGCCCCGAGTATTTTATTTCCTCGGTACCACCTATATCTTGGGAGGCGTTCCCCTATCCACCAACTGGGGAGGCGCCCGATGGGGGATCCAGCAAACCCCACACGGGAAAGTAAATTATAGTAACAGACAAAACAAACTTGAGCTAACCTTTAATACAACACTTTCAACGTGGGCGCGCCCGCCACGTTAGCTTTTAATCCAAAAAGACGCCAAGAAATTTAAGTCTTAATTAAAACGCTGTCGATCGTCCCTGGTCTGCCGAAAGTACACGCGTATAATATAATATATGTATTAAAACTCGATTATTCGGGCTAATACGAGTGTACTTTAATAAAATTTGTGCATAAAGGGCAATCAGGACCGAAACTGTAAGTAGAAGCGAAAATTTAAAGTGCATATATAAGAATAACGAATTATTACAAATAAATCGACAGTAAACAAAACAAATTCGGTCTGCTGATACGAGATAAGCCTTCGAGCGGTCGAAGCGGGCGATTCTTTTTTCGCAGCACGTGTCGATTTGAGGACAGGTCCAAAGTAGAAGCGAAATGGTATCTCACGATCGCGATAGTGATGATGCTTTTCAAAGGAGCAAAAGAACAAACAGATAACCGGCAAAAACAGTAGGTAGTTTGGACAAATTCGATATAATGTTGAAAGAAATACGAGAAATTAAAAGAGAGATGGTTTATTTAAAGGAAATAAAAGAGGAAGTTAAAGATCTGCGGACAGAAATGGAAGGCTGTAAAATAGAGGTCCAAGAGCTAAGGTCGGAAAACGCCAGGATAAAAACTGAATTTGAGTTGATCAAAAAAGAAAACGAAACTTTGAGAAACGACTTAAAATATGTTAAAAATACCACCGAGTCATTGGAAAAAATCCAAAATGAGAAGAATGTAATAACGGGGCTGAAAATAGACTCGAGAAGTCCTGAAGCGTTACAGAACGCGGTGAGCCACCTTTTCCAGCATCACCTACAAATTGAAGTGGTACCAAAAATGACCCTACGGTTGGGAGTGAAAACGTACCTTACTGAATTGAATACAGAGCAAGATAAAAGAATGGTTATGGGGAACAAACATAAACTTAAAGCAATTCAGAAGTTGCTGATCTTTCTCAACGAATACCTAACCAAAATGGGACAGGAATTAAGAAAAATGATTAGGACTAAGCTCAGGAAGAGCAGTCAAAGGGAAAGGAAGTCAAAATCGTGTACCAAAAGCTATTAGTAGATGGAAAAGAGTGGAGATGGGACAAAGACCAGGGAATATTTATGGGAACCAAAACAAAAAACTCATAAAACCCATATGACCAACCTGGCAACGAACAAGGCTATGATAAAGGAAAAAAGGAAGAACAAAGGACCACGCGGCAAAAATTATAACACCTACAGAATATCCATAACAAAACAGTCATGGATACCAGATCAGCCAGGAAGGAGCCCACATGACGACCTCCTAACAAAAGCACTGCAGGAAAAGTTGATTAGAATTGTTATTCCAAATGAAATACAGGAAAAGGCAATGGGAGTAAGGAAAAACGGAATTGGAAAAGTAGAAAAAAACTGCAAAGGACAAGGACTGTAAATAGCAACATGAAATGTGCGAGGACTTACTAGAAAAGGAAAGGAACTAATAAGAGAATTTTAAGAGATAAATATAAGCACACTAGGAATTGCGGAAACTAAGAAGAAGGGAGAAAGCATCGAACAAGTAGAAACGGCCACATTATGATACTAAGCGGATTTAATAACAACGGGAGGCGTTGGATGTTTAATTAAACAGAATATAACGAATTAACTAACCAAAAGGCAAGTGATATCAGAAAAAACCCTAAAAATTGAACTGACACCTGCTGCAAACAATATGATAAATCTATTAATACTATATGGACCCAACGAAGATGATAAGGCCGAAGTTAAAGACACATTTTGGGAGGAGGTAACAGAAATAGTAGAAAGCTTTAAGGGAAAAATTATCATTATGAGAAATTTGAATGGGAGAGTCGGAATTAAGAATGAGCAGACGGGGGAAGTCATAGGAAGGCACGGAGAAAACAGCAGAAATAATAACGGTCTGAGAATTATTGACTTTTGCATTCAGAATGATCTGCTGGTGATGAACAGCCACAAAGATGTTCATAAATACACTAGAGAAGTAATAAGTAGGAATGAAAAATCGATAATTGACTATATAAACAATGCAGAAGTGCAGAAGAGGAGCTGAGACAGGTAGTGACTACTGCCTGTTGCCAGTTTCAGTCAAGCTCTGAAGAAGCCAACAGGATAATTGGCGAAACGTCAGCAAGTTCTACTTACAAGATTAGTCAAAAGTCGCACTAATTAGGCTGGATTCCATAGTGACGTAGACCAAACTTTCTTATTTTAAATAGAACGAATATGTTTATAATCCAATTTTTTGATTGCTCTTAAAATTCTAAGTATTTTTCTGGTGAAATCGAAAGTAATTTATGATTTAATGCATAAACTCAAAGTTCATTTATGAACGACATGATTAATGATTTTAACGAATTGCTGATGTTAAATAACTATAAAAACTAATAAAAAAAGATACTTATTTTAATAAATGCTCAAACTGATATCCTTCTGCTACTTTACAATGTCCTAAGGGGCTTGTAAATTCCCGTACGGTATTTTGGAGAGAGTTCAGTGTTACAGCTCGAATTTGTCTCCGCCAAAGCGTTGGGTTTGGTTTTTTTCACTTTAATTATATGCGACACCAATGAAAGAATCTAGAGGATTGAAATCTTATGGATATAACACCCCCACAAAATTCCATTCGGAGATCTGGAATAACTTGAGACAATTCCCGAAGAAGATGTACCTTGTAAGGCGTATACTTAGTTTTTAGAATTATTGCAGCTAATTCTGGTGTCGAAGTTTGTGGATTACTATCTACATTTGATAATAAAACATTTAGAATCTCTTTAGTTTTTGGTCGCACTGTCCTTGGGCGGTTTTTTTTACAAACCCACTATTTGTAAATTTTGTGACCATTCTGGCCACAGTTGACTTGGCAGATTAAGGTCTATTTGGTAAATTGTATCAAAACATTCACACACTTCACGATAGGAACGTTTCTTGTCACCATAACCAACCATCATTACTTAGATACTTATTATTGATGTAAAATTGAACGCAGCCGAAAACGTGCCAGCCATAAAATAACAAATTCAATTGTATTTTTTTAATGCTAGATGCAAACGATTGCTCCCCAATTCATTAAAATTATTAATTAAGTCGTGCATAAATTAAACTCTAGTTTATTGCAAAATCGGTTGAAATTCACATGCAAAATAATTAGAATTTTAAGAGCAATCCAAAAATGGATTAAAAACATACTTTGTATCTTGAGAGAATCTACAATTGAAAATTTCTGGAAACTGATATGCTTGTTGCAGACTTCTATTTGGGTCGTACATTTCTCTTGGTGTAGTAGATAAAAAAGAAACGAACATATACTTTCGTATTATCGTTGTCGATTTCTAAATTCGGCTTAGTTGGATCCTACAAAATATTTTTTTAAATTATCACACACTAAAGGGTGTTAATAGTGCATATAAGATAAGTTTATGAAACAATCGATTTTTTAATCCGACCAAACAAAATGTCGATCCAGCATCAGGGTGCACATTCACTAGTTTGATTATAAGACCTCAGTAATATAACACCCTTTATATATTTTTTCCGGATGTGGGTTGAAAGAAAAAATGTGATTTCAAATTTACGCTCCGTATTCTGCCATCTAATATTCGCGACAACGAAAAACCTCGTTAATACCGTTTGATACCCGGGCGGTAAAATTCAAAGGAACTGCGCCGCGTCTATCAGCCGACCAATACATCATTCGATTGACATTTAGTAAATATAGCAAAAGGCAAAACATATTTAACAGATTTTTTTTAACGCATAGCCGTGTAGATGAGAAATACGTTGCACCAGGAATGTCGAGCGTGTTTGTGTGGTGAACATTTGAGTGTTTTTGTTCGTCCAATGTTGTTTCTGCAAAATGTATTACATCGAAGATTCGTTAATCGAAAGGTTAAGTTTTAGTGGGTTTGTATTTGTGTATTTCCAATTATGGATTGGAAACGTAATCACAAAACTTATTTATGTCCAGTTTGTATGTTTGTGATGGTTTTACGGCGTATCGTCTTTATTAATACAATGAAATGAAAAGTGGCACAAAGAAAAATGTTACCAAGGTGATTTTGGAAATTGTATATTTTTAGGCACTGTTATTCGTTTACTTATGGAAAAAGTGTTTAGGATAGTGTTTTATGTAGGATAAAGTGGCGTAGTCAGTTTTCTTCCAAAAATGACGAATTTTAGGTCGCTTAAAGAAACTTAAACAATGAAATGAAAAGTGGCACAAAGAAAAATGTTACCAAGGTGATTTTGGAAATTGTATATTTTTAGGCACTGTTATTCGTTTACTTATGGAAAAAGTGTTTAGGATAGTGTTTTATGTAGGATAAAGTGGCGTAGTCAGTTTTCTTCCAAAAATGACGAATTTTAGGTCGCTTAAAGAAACTTAAAGGTTAACAACAATAGAAAAGAAAGCAACCTTAAACAAAAGAGCATGTTACTTAAATAATCTCTCTCTCTCTCTCTCCCTCGTCTCTCTTTTTTCCTCTCTCCGTCTCTCTCTTTCGCCTTTCTCCTTTTCTCCCTCTCTCCCTTTCTCCCTCTCTCTCCCTTTCCCCCTCTCTCTCCCTTTCCCCCTCTCTCCGTTTCTCCCTCTTTCCCTTTTTCCCTCTCCCCTCTCTCCCTCTCTGTCCTTCACCCATTTAGCCCCGACCCCTCAAACAAAATATAAGCTCTGAAGAAGCCAACAGGACGATTGACGGAACGTCAGCAAGTTCGATTTATCATGGACTGATGCAATAGCCCAGAAGATTTGAAAATAGTGGAAGTTCCTTTGAAAAATTAGCACGCTATCTGTATTAATTAATAAGGGAGATACGCTGTAAAATAATGAGAAATGGGACACACTGTACATAGCTATAACTTCAATTTAGATAGAACTGCTTTTTGTAACATCGTTAAGCAAATAATAACGGCACAAACATCAAAACTCCCTATTTAATTCTAATAGGACTTTTAGACGTAGGAAGGTGGCCCCACCCCCACTTCTTAGTGGTGATGGTACACCTTGTGTAGTTGTAGTTTTTTCTTTTTTTCTAATAAATACCTATTTCGAGGTATACGGCATAATTAAATACCTCGTTCTTTTAGGAAATTTTTCGTCAAATCCGCTCTTCCGATATCCGAAGAACTGAGGAGGGAAATTGGAATAAACGTTAAGTCTTCCCAGTGCCTTGAGCCTCCCGTGACGCTCTTCGACGACGCCCAAGCTCAAGTGGAGCGTCTCATTGTGAACACCACTTATCCTAATTTTATAAAAAGCGACGTGTACCTGCAATATTTAGAGGTGAACCATTCCGCATTTGGAGAGCAAAAATTTCATTCGCGTGTTGACGTGTTTAATTCGACAGAATGCCCAGACGTCGAGTAGCAGTAACGACGAGCAAGTAAACGATTTCAGTAACGACCTGTCCAGCCATGCCAACGGTCCGAACCCTTTGCCCACCCTGCACGAAGATAAAGAACTGATCATGCACCCGCCCATCCATATCAGTCACACTTCCGGTTAGTAAAAGCTACATTTACGATACACGATAAATGGTCATGACTGTAATAATGCCATTGACGTTTGTATCTGCTCCTAACGATTTTTGGACCAATAAATCAAACCGGTCCAGGGTAGTACTAAGGAAATTGAAACACAAAATATGTGAAAACATTCTGTTGTATTGCTTACTGGATAAATGGAATTTTGATAGTTTGATTTTGACACAATAGTTTGAATCTGTGCCGTCATTATTATCCAAGGATATTATTAATGGTTTAACGTGGTCCCATGTTTCTTTTTATAACTATCTTCCGCTTCAAGTACTCTGATATTAATTCACACTGAGTTTCAATTATGTCAATTACATATGCGGACATTTGCTGGTTTATATTATCGCGTCTAACTTTATTTTTTATTCGCAATTCTTAATAGGACTCAAATCTTAGTAATAAGGTAGTAATTTACGGAGGCTTTCTAGTGTTATGCTGGGGCGGAGCATCCTCTGCTGGCAGGGGTGCCCATACGCGTGGTTTTTTCAATACGTACGACACTGAGGAAAAAAACTTCAATACAAAAAGTATTTGACCCAAAATAAATATTTTATTCATAGTATTTTTATGTATGCAAGGTGTTCCGTTGTGCCAGGACAGTAACCAACTTTTTTTTTTTTAATGGAATGCTACGGATATTTATGAAAATTCTTGTAATTCGCTTAATTTTGAGTCTTTTTTGTCGTTACATAGCATACGAAATTTTGAGTAGTTTTTGAGAAAAACGAACAGGGCAACAGGCCTTTGGAAAAGACTGGAAAATGGAAGTTGTTAATATTTAATGCTTTGATCTATCTATGGCGAAAATACATTATACAGGGTGGTTACAAATAAGCCATCAAAAAAAGTAATGCAATTTCTAATTAAGTATTTTAGCACTTTTATTGGGTTTTGGGATTTAATCTATCTATCATTTCATGTATGGTAAATTTTTTTTAAATGTAACTTTCAAAAGGGAACAATAAAAAAGTCTTGTTTAATATTTCAGTTGGGATCATTTCCAAGCTGCCAGAATTGTTTTTGAATTTTTTAATTAATATATCACTTTACACGAAAGAGGTATACTTTTTAAATTTGGAAAAATTTTGGTTTGAAATTTTCAGTACATCATTACGTAATATTTAAAATTTCATTTCTTATGCCATGACTACCTAAATAATCAATTTTCTTTGTCGTGGGAGTCAAACAACTTGACCGCCTAGAAGTCTTGATTTGAATCCTGTTGATTTTTGTGTTTGGGGGTACTGAAGCCGATAGTGTATGAAGAAATAGGTCATACTCGAGATGAGTTATGGCACAGGATTGAAAATGCCGTTGAATCATTTCGAAACTATAATTATTATTTAAAATCAGGCAGTCTTTCAATAAACGCGTCTCTAAATGTATCATAGTGACTGAAAATCATTTTGAAAATTTTTTGCCGAATCGAATTTTTTATGAATAGTTTTTGTATTTTACTTTAGTTTTAAATTAAATTTTCATTTGCATAAAATTTTTTCATTGCTATGGAAATTTTTGAGTCTAATTTTTCAAAGAAACTTCCACTTTAGAGCTTGACTGAAACTGTCTGTACTACCATATGAGTTCAGTCATGTGCATTTTCTAGGTTATTTTAAAATTGATGGTATAAGAAATGAAATTTTGAATATTACATAGTAATGTGCTGAAAATTTCAAATTCCAAATTTCTCGAGAAGAAAAATGCATTTTGCCTAGTTTGTTATGTACCTATGGGACAGTCTGTATAACCAAAACTTTCTACACCACTGCATTCTGCGGGAAAAAAATGAGAGTGTTGTTTCTAAAATGAAACATTTTCAAAAAGCGTATCTTAAATACTAAAACAGTTATGAAAATGTCAATTTTACTGCTGCCAAGAACCCCAACTGTCTCTAAAAATAACAGAGCGTTTTGGGCATAAAAAGTGTATTATTTTCAGGGAGTGTAAGCATCGGATACCACACTCCAAACTTATCCGGCGCCCCCATGCGTTTGACCAGAGACCACCTGCTGCTGTCCCAGAACCGACGTGCCATCGACAAGACCAAATCGGAAACTTTCGTCAGGTAATTTTTCACACGTCTCGGTGTTATTTTAGTTTTTTTTCTCACGTTCGCTTTTTTGGCAAAGCTTACGAGTTCGCTTTCACATTGACCGATTTTTGTTTTATAAGTTTTTTTAGGAGTGAGCGATTTTATTTTGTTCCGCATTTACGCAGGGTTAAGAGTTTAATTCGGCCAGGTACGAGAGGTTACCATGGTTGCCTTCTTGTTTGTTCCCAATTCACTCACCCATCGGCCTTAGCCTTGGTACAAAGTTATTTCGTGAAGGGGTTCCTCCACAGGTCCTCAAATCTTAGGGCTTCGGTTTTGAGTGCCTGATTCTAATCAACTAATCACCTTTGAAGAAAATGTTCAGATTCGATCTGTTCAGTTTTCCTTCCTATCGGCGTGAATGGCCAACAACGGCTGTGGACCTGAGGGGGTCCTGTGATCGCTAGAAGGTGGGTTGGCTTTTTCGTTTATTTTTGTTCCATTTTGTCCAGCTATCCACGTCTCTGTTACTTTGTTCAGGCACTTTAACATGGATAGGACCTAGGACCCCGTCGCAGTTTCTTATAGTCTTGGAGGTATTTTTAATCACTTCACTGTCGGAAAGAAAAGGAAGCTCCAAAGCCTTCGTGCGTTTTGGAACCGTTAGTGTGACATTGGCATCCTGCCCCCATGAGATCACTTTTATATTGAACCCCATTCATCCCTGCTTGGCAGGTACACTTATGCGTGAGCTCTGTCATTGCAATCTTAGGTATGTTATCTGATGGATTCCCCAGAATGCCGTGGTTGAATACCTTCTATAGTTTTGTTCAGAACATGTTATATATGTTGCCTCACACATACTTAATATAGCTGAAGATGGCATCGGGTTATCTTTCTTGATCCTCGTACCACAGATCAAAGGCTCCGTCGCCGCCCTTTTTAGTGACTATAGTTTTTGTTTGAGGAGCTCGTAGACAATAATAAATGTCGATGAAACGAAATGTTTTGGGATTGAATTGTCTTTATTATCACTTTTACTTCAGGTCAATACTAAATAAACTTTACCTTCACAATGTATATATAAATATACACAATCTATGTATATAATCTATGCCGAAGTTAATGATTGCGGTGTTGCTTACAGCTGAGTTCACCGTAAATTAAGATTATATTTTGTCAGTCATGTTTTCTAAAAGGGGGCCAACGACTGCCGTCTGTTTGTTTCCCCTCCTACAGTGTTGTTCCTTGTCGATGATTATGCCCATGTTGTGAACGTCGCCGCCCATTGTGATTCTTCAGTGTCGGTTAATCTCACTTCAGCCTCGTTAGAACCATAGCGGACAGACTTCTAATCTTATGTAGTTGAGAACAAACGCTGCAGTCAATTTCAATATATCAAACACTAGCTTCAGAGGAATGGATATCCATCAAAACTTGTATTACAAAATTCTGGAAATTCGCAGAAATAAGATAAAATATATATTAAAATTCTCACCAAAAAGATAGGTAAATATTGTATCATAAATACCACCTTCAGCTCGAACAGTTCTCTGAAGAGCAATGTCACGAAGACCAAATCTTGCGGTCAGAACTGTACCGCGCGATCATTTATCATGTCCCCTCCTTCCGCTTAACTTTTTTATTTAAGTTTGGGAAAAAACGTCAAATACAAAAGTTGTTCAAAGTAGTAAGCTATTTGCAAGATATATTATATGCTTAATAAAATCCCCTAAAAATTGTGCAAATTTCTTCTATAATATGTCCTATACCCAAATCCAGTTTTGAGAGTTTTTGAGATATATGCGCTTTTAACAGTCAAAAATAAAATAATATACGAGAATTTATATTTTATATCTTAGCTGGCTGTGCAGTGAGTCATTACCAAAAAACAAACTGTAACAGTAACAGACAGTAACAGTTACAGATTTAGTAAAACTATGCTATGCTATGCTAATATATATATATATATATATATATATATATATATATATATATATATATATATATATATATATATATATATATATATTAATTTTATTTTTATAATTTTACGTAAGTTTTGCTAATTCTGTACCTGGTAACTAACTATCACTGTCAGTTATAAACAAACATTTTGTTTTTTGGTGACGATCTAAGAAATAAATTATAAATTCTAGAGTATTATTTTATTTTCGAATGTTGCTTTTAAGTTAAAAGCTCATATACCACTCTGTAGAACTATTGGATTTGAGTATAGAACGTATTATACAAGAAATGTGCAGATTTTTTAGGAGATTTTATTAATTTTATTATAAAACTTTTATCTGAGGGTGATTTCTATAACACTCTTTATATAAAATGTGTCTTCCAAATAGCTTACTATTTTTTAAACAACTTTCGTATTTAACGTTTTTCCCAAAGATTAAAAGGGGGGAGGACATTGTAAATGATCACTCGGTACATATAGGAGGTACCTTGCAAGTGCGATGCTTCTTACGAGACGAGAATACCCTCACTGGAGTTTTAACACCTTCATTTTTTCTGTGAGTTTTTTGGCTTATAGTTTTGGTTGCCTACCTCTCGTAGCTCACTATTGCAATGTTCTTTGATATGGAATGTCACGGAAATCTTCGGAAAACTGTTAACTGTTAGTTATACTTATATTTATAGTATATATTATATAGTTACATTAGTTAAGCGAAAGGAGGGGGGGACATGATAAATGATCGCGCGGTACAGTTCTTACCGTAAGATTTGGTCTTCCTGACATTGCTCCTCAGAACTGTTCGAGCCAAAGGTGGTATTTATGATCCAATATTTACCTATCTTTTTGGTGAGAATTTTAATCTATCTCTTATTTTATTTCTGCGAATTTCCAGAATTTTGAGGCATGCACACAATTTTTAAAGAGAACCCAGTTATATATATACTCAATGTTTGTGACATTCTGTCTGAATTTCTATCAGTTTATCTGTTTAAGTTAGTCGTAGCCCAATTTTTTCTTAGATTTTGATTTTTTTTTCACCTCCTCATCTCAGTTCGTGCTTTGAACCATGCGTTATTTGTTCTTGATCAAGTTTTCTATATCATCCAAGGGGTTAATAACTCTAACCTACTTACCCATTTGATCCTATAAATATTCTATGTGGTTAAGGTCTGGACTGTGTGGAGACCAGTCCAATGTCTAATTAAATAATTCTATAATATTACAACGTGGTTTGCCTTTATAAAGTCATTTGGAAGACGCTGAGGTCCAACTCTCATACTGTCTTTTTTTGGCCCGCCTAGTGGTCTCCATGTAGTTTTGTACCTATTTCGTTCATCTGTTTCCTAGTTCTTCTCTGATATCGTGACTCCTTATTCTAATTCTGAGGCTCACTCTATGTATTGTTCTATCATTTATTTTGTTGTTGATTTTTCAGCTCTTGTTCTTTTGCATACGTGAGCTTGTTTTGTAGATTCTTATCTTGCTGTGTGTACTCATCATATTGTTTTTCTATATTATTTCTCTCAAATTTTCCCTGACGCTTTTATCGATTGAGTTCGTATTTTTTCTATATATATTGTATTATATTGTTATTGGCAACTAGTTTACATCTAATCTATCTCTATCTTACATTTATTTGACTTTCTTTGCATCCTGTACAGGGTTATTTTTTATATTTGTCTACCCACCTACTCACCGACATAAAAGTGTTAACACAAAAGTTGTATAATTTTTGCAGTGTTATCTTTAAGACTTGTAAAAGAAAACAAATGCGCATCGCATACTTGAAAAACAGTAGCAAGTTTTTTATTTTTAAATGGAACATCCTATATATTTTCTATTATCACAAAAGGCCTTTTTCTCCTGATTTCTAAAATATGTAGATCTAAGTTTGATTGAAACTTTCACTTTGGAAAATCGAGTAAGAGTAAGAAAATCTAAGTAGTTCGTCTTTTTTATTTCAATAAGTATTAATTAACTTAAAGAACGATATTAAAACCGCCGACAAAGATGATTTACCTAACAATAATGAAAATATTACGTAAAGTCTATGGATATGCGTTTTTTATATATCCACCATGATTTCCTAAACATTTTCTAACATTATTTCTCATTTTATGATCGGGATCAGGATCCTTTGTTATATGCATCGACATTTTTTGATAATGTAATAACCGTTGAACTTTATTTCCTTCAGATAAATCTTGAACTGAAATAAATTTGTAGGGGTAATATTTTTAATATTTTAAATCTTGTGCGGCAGCAATTGAGATTGAACGAGATTTTCTAAAAAGTTATATGACATTAATATTATTTTTAATAATTATTCATAAGAGTGTAGCTGCATTAAAAAGAGAGCAAAATATTCATGTCGTCATCTCTATTTCTAACAAACTTTCTCTTTTTTCGTCTGATACTTTTGGTTTCATTAAATTGCCGGATAATGCGTTTGGATTGTGTCAGCAGCTTAAATAATTCAAGAATGGCTTATCCAAATCTTAACAATCTATTTATTTTTGAAATCTTTCGTCATAACAGAAAATATATAGAGGGTTCCATTCAAAAATAAAAAACTTGCTACTGTTTCTCAACTTTGCGCTGCACATTTGTTTTCTTTTACAACTCAAAAATTATACTTTTGTGTTAAAGGTTTTTCTCGGCTACTTCCGCTAACCCTTGTATGTGGGTACGCAAATATAAGAAATAACCATGTACAGGATGAAAAGACAGGGGACTAAGTATAATATGAAGATCCGATTAGATGTAAACTAGCTACCACAACAACATAATACAATACACAATAAAATTCTATTACCTAGGAGTAACAATATCGACCGAGTGCGATTTAATAAACAAAACACGAACTCAATGGATAAAAGCGTCAAGGTTCAAATGATATTTAAGAAAAATAATATAGAAAAATAATATGATCACTTAAGAACAAGCAGCGGAAACAAGAGCTGCAAAATCAACAAAAAAAAAAAATGGGAGGACGATTGAAAAGTCCTATTATCTCTGAGGCTTTGCATTGACTTAAACACCCAACGGTATTGGTGGAAATTCCCACAGAATGCGACAAGCATTGAGTCTGAAACTGAACTAAAACTCAAGTTTCCTCATAGCATCGTTTTTTAAGATTTAAGCTCCACTAAAAAATATCCAAATCTAGTCAGCAGTTCACGAGAAAATTAACTTTGAAGTTGACTACAGTTTTAGTGGGGAGTTCATTTTGATGCGCAGTTTATTGCGGTTTACTCCGTTGTTTCTTGGAGACATGGATATATCCGTAGTTTACTTTGTTTTGTATTACTTTTTGAAATTACTTACCGAATGCGCTTGTTAATTTTTTGTGTTACGCTTATTTTCGTTTTTTTTTTTGCTCGCGGCGTAGTATGTTTATGAATCGGGGCATGACGGGGTCTCACGCTGCTTACAACTCGTATAATCCGGTCTCGAGGCAGGACAGCGAGCTGCACAGTTTGAGCAGTCACTCTGACGCGCGTACCGACTCAGACAACCTGTCCATGACCGACAGTTCTGTGTAAGTATACACGTACGGGTACCATACATGATACAACAAACAAAGATATGATGTTGCGGTTGTAGGCGGAGCCAACGGGTCACGTCGTTGACGTCATGCGGAGCTTGATTTGACGAGATTCCAAATCTCACGTTTTATGAAAATGCAGGCCGCAATACAAATAATGGGTTAAAACATTTTTTGAGTGATTTGATTCTATTTCGGTTCCCTAATGATGAAAACATTCAAAAGTTGACTGATGGGTTGCAAACGGGTAGATCCACTTAATGTAAAAACTGTCAGAGTCTGCTCTAGACGTATCGATTATTGCATGTTATGGTATATTGCAAACAGGTGCCTTCCTTCTTTGCAATAAATACTAAGATTCATTTAGCTCATAAACTCTATTCTAGCAAAAAAAAAGTGTTTACTTTTATGACTCTTGTTTATAATTGCCATTTTATTCTCTTTTCAAACTGTAAATTTATAATTAATCTGTAGAATATTTTATTTATTTTAAAAAACAAATCTAAAAAAAACAAATTTCCTTAGCATTCACAGCACCTAGATTTTTTTAATCGTTAATAAAATGATACCCAATCCATTATTATAATATCAAAACTTTATTTTAAATACCTACTCCAAAAATCTTAGTTTGATAAGTGCAAGTGCAATTTTTGGAAGTGTCTGCATATTTGGTTTCTGCAAATATAATAGCAGCTTGCTTTAACCATAAACAATAATACTTAACAAAAGTTAACAATTGGGTCGTTAACAAGTATCATATCCCATAAGTACTTCGCGTCAAATTCAGTGGTTAACAATGATTTGATTGTTATAGACGGTGAGTTTTGTTGTACAGAATTCTCGGAACCTATGGGTGCATCTTTGACATAAAAAAACTTTTTTTTTAATAGAAACCTTTTCTTACTTTTATCTTTATTAAATACACAAATGGCACATTGGGACAAAACTTTTGGAATTCAAATGTGGATTTCTTTTAGAACCGTAAATTTTAAATGATTGCTTCAAATTTTCCCTTGTAAAGCCAATTGGGCACATTTTTCTAAAATAATGACTAATTTATGAATTGTTTGATGTGAAAAAACCACACGGTAAAAGTAACTTCTTAATTAAAATATTTATAAACACCACTAAAACATGACACAATATCGCGATAAAAATAAAATAATTTGAATTTCGATTAGAGTTACGTTTTGTACTTCAAGCTTTTACAATATTCAAAATTGATATTTTCAACGAAAAGTGATGAAACCCACAAAACACGGCTTATCTCTCTCTACACTCCATCCATTACCTATGATGGATACTGATGTGGTAAGGCAGAGAGACAGAGGTAAAACTCTTGCCTCATCGTTGTTTTTTAAAACAAAAAAATAAATAACTTAAACTACATCGAAATAGTTCGAATAACTTTTCCTCCGAAACTCGGTTAATATTAAGTTTCAAATTTGAGATACTAAATAACGGACTAAAAAATAACATTCATCAACGCTATCGTTCATATTTGAAATTTTGTGAGTGGTCGAAGGCAAATGAATTTCATTCAACAAGACTCGCATACTAGTCTTGTTGAACTTGTTTATCATCATTTTGAATCATTGTTTTAATATGCGTTTCATAAAATCGTCTTATTCCACTAACTGACTAAGGAGAGCTGCGTTGCGCACCAGGGTCGGGCTTAGCCCATTCAAAATCACGACAGATAGGGAGTTTGGAGTCATTTGTACTTCCATTGCCTTTATTTATAATTTCACTCAACTTTTCAATTGACATGCGAAGAAAATATAATTCCTACTAGAAAATATGGTAGTGCTGCATGGTTTGTTTCTTGTGTGATTGCATGATGATTTTACAATCGTGGGATCGGGTAGTCAGTAAGTTAATAAAAAACACTGTTTTAAAAACAGTACTTTGTTTTTGAGAGGCAGTTACTCTTTGTGTTTTAAACACCCTGTACCGTAATGAAAATCAGAACGTTTTTCAAAAATGTATAATTGTCTACATATATTTTTTAAAATGTATGTAGCTATTAAATATATGTCATATCGTTATTTTATTCCATTTATTATTGTTATTATTATCAGAAACGAACACAAACTACGGAATACCAAAAATAGTAAACATTTTTCTGTGGTTAAATTGTATAAATTAGTTTAAACAAATATATTATAGTAGGCTATGAAAATAATGTGTATATCTTTGATCGGAAAGCAACTACGACAACAATGTGGAAATCTCTTTTCATAAATACATTATAGAATTTTATGGAAGCAAATCAACTAGTGGACGATCACCAGGTTCACTGAATATAACTGATAAAGTGCGGCACTTGAAGCGGAATCCCATAACCAGCGAATGGAAAGTGCAGCATCCATAAAAAAGGAAATGAATTAGAATGTGCAAACCATGAAGGTAACTAATACATGTGTGGTCGAATTCTTTGAGATCTTATAGAAACTGAATCGACAGAGCAGAAGAACAAGCACAAACAACACTTTTTGTCCAACGAATGGATAAAAATTCAAGCACCAACCAGGAAACCTTCTCACGATGAGTAGTTCAGAAAGCTAACACAAGTAATATGCTAAAACATATGTAAGAAAGATCAACATCAAAAATAAGATTTGGGAATAAGCCGTCACAACCATTCTCGATAAAGGTCTAGGCCAAGGTATCGCGGACTTTATTGCAAACAAATAAAGCGTCGATGCATTTGCTGGCGACGAGGTTATCATAGCAAATGATACAGGAGGAATATAAATGAAGAACTCTGGAAATGAACACAGAAAATGAAATGATTGCATTTTTTAATAAATGTTATTTAGGTATGACTTTCAACACATATTATAAAGAAGTCCGACAGAGGGTAACATAAGCTAGAAAAACAATTGGATGCACATGTGCAAAGAAAACCTGGACGGAAGACTAGGAGCTCCAGGGATCTCGGAGAAAGTCGCTGGGTTGACTGAACAAATTTAAAAAAATATATACATTGCATTTCATTTAAAACCTTTGCCTTGTGTTTCAAAACTTACGCTTACAAGAAAAAATCTGAGTAAGGCATTGAATTCTGGAACAATAATCTTCGTAAATGCCGAAAGAAACATTTGTAAGTTATTGCGGAAAATGTCTTGTAGATGGTGAAAATCAGTTTGAGCAGTTTTTTTAACATTTTATTTTATTTTTTGTATTCTATTCGTATGTTTTGTCAAATAATAATAATTAATAATGATATGTTAACTGCAATAAAATGAAGGTAACAAATTAGTAATTTTTTTAAAATGGCATGGTTTATGTCTATAAAAAATATATATATTTGAACATTTGTACATGAGCGTATCAAAAGGCTATCAGATTGCAAATATATATTTTGCAAATTGGAAATATTTTGCAAATCGCAAATATATATTTTGCAAATTGCAAATATGTATTTTGCAAATTGCAAATATGTATTTTGCAAATTGCAAATATATATTTTGCAAATTGCAAATACATATTTTGAATAATAATAATATCATGCTTATTGAGGAGATATAGGGCGTTTAAAAATCAATTTTATTTATTTTTTTGGTTGGTAACATGGCAAGATGCGGTTTTCAAAACACTTTTAGTTTTATTTTCGACATATTGGGAGAATTAGAAAATTTAATTTTTTGGAGATTTTTTTTTTTAGGATAAGAGTTAAAGTTATGATATTTTCAATGGAACACTCTGTACACGAAGTGTTAATTGAGTACCACAAAGTTTTAAGATAAAAGTTCATTTTTAAAAGAAACTTCCACCTTAATACTATTTACAAGACATCTGGATTTCTCTTACGTCGGTTGTTGTTGAGTTGAACGTAGATTGGCAACGACTTAGTTCTTCAGGCAGGGCATCCTGGGAATATTGATGATGAGAAACTGAAATAATACCTTAGTTTTTGATTTAATGTTATAGGACGCCGCATGCGGTGTTATTCCTAAATTTAATTAAGTTCAGGAATAACAACGCATGTGGCCCCCTCCAACATTAAAAAAATCCAGGATAATGTTGTTGTTCCTTAAAATCACTGACCATTTATCAAAAGTTCTTAAGAAATATAACGTCAAAACTGGTTATCAAAATCTAAAGACCTCTCAATATCTTCAATCCGTGAAAGTTTAAATTCCGTTTGAGATACTTGGATTTCTTCAGCATTCATGCATATGCAGCAAATAATACATTGTAGAGACCAAGTAGGTTCAAAGAACCTGAAAGCGACTTAAGACTATGACAAATAAACCAGCAGTTGCCAAACACAATCACGATACCGGTCATACAATTTTATTCGATAAAACTAAAATTCTTGCATGTAATCCGGTAATCCATAGAAATCTATAAGCAGCCAAACAATCTTAACCGCGACTCAGGTCTTTACGTAACCAATGTGGGTATATATAAGCAGGTATAGAGTAGAATGCGAACCAGTTTCAGTTGAACTCTGAAGAAGCCAATAGGATTATTAGCCAATCGTTAGCAAGTTCGATTCATCATCAAGCGACGCAGGAGGAATCCAGAAGTTTTGTAAATAACTTTATCTCGTATCCTAAAAATTGCGTTATCATCATCTCATTACTATACAGGGTGTTCAAAATACCAAAAATTAATTACTGAAATTAAAGCAACTCTAGTATTGTTTTGAAAAAAGAGCGTAGAATTGCAAAAAAATGTATCACTCTAATACACTTGTTTAACTTCAAATTCTTTACTTGAGAAGATTTCGATGAAAATTCGCAACTTGTTCCCCAGTTATGTTTAAAAAAAAAACGAAATTTGCTAAATAAAAGGTTTTTGTTTCGCGATGAAGCGATGGGCGTTCCCTGGTCCGGACGTCACGACGTCAAGCGGCGGTGAACCGCGAGGCGCACATGAACCAAATCGTGATACCCCGCACCAAGAGGATTGACAAGTTGCAATGTCAGCCTATGGACGTGGATCAGTTCGCCGCCATTTTGTTCGAGAAGCTGGAAATGGTCAAGAAGGAGCGGGAGACCATGGAACTGATCGAGAAATTGAAATTGGAAGAGGTATGACCGGTGGTTATTTTTTAGTTGTCCCTTCCACATATTCTCGTGTTGTTGACTTCTGCTAGTTGCTACTAGTACTAGAAGACGAAATATTATTAAACTCATACGTCAGGTCTCGGTAGTTTGATTTCCTGGGTACAATTATCATATTAATAGCCTGAAAAAAAACAGCATAAGTTTTTCCAGTATGTATAGTATAAGTTCGACGGAGCATATCCCCCACTAGGATTTTCGCATACAATATTATTTAGATTTGGGAATGTTTCTCTTAGTGATCGCCATGATTACCATTATTTAATGAATTTATTTATAATTTTACATAACTTGTTTGATTGCTCCGACCTGTTATATAGACCAAATCTTCTTGTTCCCCGTATTAACTCTAGACATAGCAACACATTGTTTCTGGCCACACCAAGAACAACTATATTAAAATTTTCACCCATTTTCTCAGTGTGCTTCAAATGCAATGCTCTACCTGATTTGGACTTTTTTTCGCAGTCTATTACTAAGGTAAAAACGTTATTGCTCCATTAAGTATAACTATTAATTTTAGTCTCTTCCTATTCTCTTGTTTTTTTTTATTAGAGTTAATGTTTATGTTGGGCTAGAGTTTAGGTTAAGTTTCATAATATCATCATTCGTTGCAGTGGCTCTGTAACTTACTTCCTGTTAAGTAGACCTCCTTAAATAAATAAATAAATAAATGAATTATCTATCTATTTTAGTTTTTAAGATAAAAACATTATTTTTCCACCATATTTGTGGCACAATTTCTTCCTAATGGTTGGATTCGGTTCCAAATAACAAACTGCCCTTTATTAGGAATGCCCCCACAAACTTGTGGAGATGGGGTTCTATTCAAATCTAGTAGTGTTCTTTAAGTCGTACTTGTGTTGCGAGGGCATGTCATATAAGTTCATTGCCACAAGTCGGACCTCCCTCATATTTTCCATTGTTATTAATGATATAATTAAGTAAATTTTTACTATTTGCAGATGATATAAAAATATCTAGTTACCCCTAATCAAGGTGACTGTCACTTTCTTCAGAGAGATCTTCTCTCTTGGTGTAAACCCAACAGATTGCCATTGCAAATTGACAAATGTTTTTCTGTTCGTTTTTCGGACAGGGTGGTTGTATTGGTTTTGATTATTTTCTAGGCAATATAAAATTAAAACGAAGTGATGGTTGCAAAGATTTGGGAGTTTTATTTGGTACACTAAGCTTTCCTTTGTTAATAGTATCAATCAAACTTGTAACAGTGCGTTGAAAATGTTAGGATTCATATTTCGGAATGCTAGTGAGTTTACAAGCAACAAGCGCGAGAGCCACTCTACTTTAGTTATGTTAGATCTAACTTGGATTATGGGGTCACTATATGGAATCGTAGGTTCAATAAATATATTATTCAGCGAGAAAAAGTTCAAAGGAAATTTTTAAAATATCTAGTTTTTAGGTTTGATGGTGTATTTTCACAGAGAGATTTTGATCATAATGTTCTTTTCAGGCGCTAAGTGTTCAAATTGTTTTCGTTTGACGTGGTAGCTATACTTATCGAATTAATTGTCTTGTCCTTGGATATTATATCTGTTAGACAACAAAGCTTATTATTATTTCTTAAATTTTTCGCATTTGAAAAATCCTGTATAATGTCTTTGCGTATCTCCCACCCAACGTTCATAAATGACGTTATGAAATAAAACTTACGACGACTGTTTGATCCACGTTCACACCAGCGAATTCTTGCAAAGAATAGCACCAAGAGCTATCATATAACGAGGTAAAAAATCAAATCAATTTTCGGTGAGGAAAATCGAAAGTGAGAGTTTGAAATGCCCGTTTCCGTTTCAGAGCGAATCGTTGAGCAGCGACCTTAAAAAACTGTTGGACGACGAAAACGACCAATCAATACTAGACGACCATGTCTCGATGGTATTTCCCGACACTCCTGTCAGATCGCCGGGGATCGCTTCTCCTAAAAGGAACAGGTGGGTTAAAGTAATAGTTCATGTATCTCCGTAGGTTTTTTAGTCCAGCGCATTGGGAAATTCCTCCGAGTAAAACGATATATGAATGTTTCAATGTGCGACGTTCAATATACCAATAGCTAAATATACTACCTAAAAGTCACTACATAGAAACCAACTTTTATTTCTACTAACTTGATTGTATGGCGTCAGCATGGTAAAAATTGATGATGGGAGTAGGACCGTGGAAGGAGCTATCGCTATTGTTACTGATAATAATCATTTCGATCAATCAAATTTATTAGAATGTTATACAGAAAAAATAGAACCTCACACACAAAATGTGTATCCGCGCACAGTCGTTATTTTGAAAAACATTGCGATCTTTCTTAGTCACTTTAAGTGACTTTGTCTAAAATTTTTAACCTATAATTTGTCGAACCTTATTGTTTCTAAAATTTCACCTTTATTTCAAACTTAAAAGTCGTCAGAAGGGTTGAGATAGGATCTGTAAAAATTAATTAGTTGTGCAATTTTGGCAAATTGCATTGTTTCCAAAATTTCAACCTGAGGAAAGAGAAAGAAAAAAAAATTACTATATATATTTTTTTTGTTTTTGGCGTTTAACTAGTTATCAGAAGGGCTGGGATAGGGTCCATAAAAATTAGTAATAAATATATTTAAATCATGTTAGCAAAACTTGCGTTTGCTTGGTGTGCCAAAAGAAGACCAATTGGGATTTTGCAAAACTTTTCTTCGATTGAAGGTCATCTATCAATCGCACCAATTCGATGGTTGAACTCCGACTGGAATCCGGCAAATGTTTCGCCAAGATCTCACTTCACATCTTCAATGCTCGCGCTCCAGTGTTCGCAGTGTTTTCGGAACCACACTTAAAACCAACAAGAAAACGGTTACAAAAACTTGGAGACACTAAAAATGCAGACGGCGGCTCTATTGGCTGATAACATTCATATGATATCAGACCGCCTTTTTTTTTTTTAATGTTTAAGAAGTATTTTAAAAGTGACAACCGACCGCCCTTAAAATATAAACGTTCAAGTTTAATTAATGTAGCCATCTTGTTATTATAAGAAAACGGAAAAACGTCCTTTTGCAATGCGCAAATAATAACTTATTTTGAACATTTAAAATTAATAATTAATTCTGCGAGATTCCATTGAAATCCCTTGCAATTCCGGAAATACGGCGTACACCCTCAGCTCAGCACTGTTTACACATCGGTTATTTCGATTGCAGACATCTGCAGAGCTCCAGACGCAGAAAGGACGGTTCGATATTCAGCAGCGATTCGGGTAACGTGCACGATTTCGCCGACGGAGGGTCGGAACACAAACTGGGCGTGGTCAAGTCGAAGAGCATGCCCGAGTATCCGGACGATAGGTTCGCAAGGGGAGCGGTTGGCAGGAGGTCGTCGAAAAAGACGTTGGCCGACCTGACCGACAGCGGGGTGTCGGTGGTGTCAGACACGTGTCCCGCCTCCGCGCCCGCCAAGGACAGCAGGGTGCTCGCGTGGATCATGCAGGCCGACCCGAGTGGGCGGGGCGCGGGACACACTCACAGCGAGATGTCAATGAGACACCGCAGCGCTCACCGGACCGCCGGCAGCGCCACTTCGCCCATTGCTGCCAGGCACAGAAAAGGTGAGTTGCGTAATAAGAACGTTTCTATTCCTATGCGATCTGCGGTGCTTCCCTGTCCTTTCGATCCATTGTGTCTGCACGTCTTCACTGCCTCGCCTAGAGCTACCCTGTACTCTCGAGAAAGTACAGTACCTCTTCCACGAGCTCCTAGTACTCTCAACGCAGCTAGTTTGGAGAAGAAGAAAGTTTTGGTATATTCACGAAAAATGTAATAAAAAGAATATTCGTTTTATTATAGTCCGTACGATTTGCGATGGCATAGTCGATCATAAATCCAATAGAGAAGGTATTTTACCTGCCTGTAAACCCACCCATTTACCTGTCAGTGTTCTACCTTTGTCTATTATGCCACGGTGTGGTACACCCGACAGAGATACCACCAATTACTGAATAATTACAGTAGTTTCCACTACAAAAGCGATAAGCGATAGCTTTCCTCGTCACTAAAAAGTATTCATAAAAGTTGCCTTACAGATTTGAACAAAAATTCCACTTTCTAGTGAAAAGGTATAGCTAAACGTTGATTGCCGGCTGCCTTTACTGGATAAGTAAGTCCCATGTCGGCGTCTCTTTGTAGGTCCCAAATACATAAGTTTCATTAGATAGGAATCCTGGCTTTTTAAGATTTTGGTATATATTTTTTAACATTATTATGAATTTTGAGTTTATAAACCTGTTCGGCGGGCAAGGCTATTGGTTTTCCAAATTAATTATTTATGTAATGACTTTGTAACATTTCAACTGACACAAACATTGGCACTTGCCTCCTTTGATTAGAAATAACATTGACACACAGCGGTGGTATCTATTTATTTTTATTGTAGGAACTTTAATATTAATGACGGCGCTTACTGCTTTTGTCAGGTCAGACTGCATGTCGTTTAACATTTTTCTCTGGGATTAACTCAATTTCAGAAATTATGGCACTTGCCACCTTTGTGACTTCCACTCTTTAATTGGAGTATCTTCCTTTTCTAAACACAACCTGCATGTGCAGTTGTCTCCCACCTACATGATATGAGCCCACCTTCGGCGCCCACCTATATGATATGAGCCCACCTTCAACTGTCTCAGTCGCGGTAAAGTCTCCCAGTGCAGAACCAACTGCTTCCCAAACCATTTATTAAGACTTCAGCACGGTATATGCTATTCTAATGGAAGGCTCCCGCCCGAGATACGGTGTTCCCGAGCTAGTCTGTCTGCCATTTCGTTGCCCTCTATACCCACATGAGCGGGTACAGATTGACAGAATTACATTTGGCTAGTCTGGTCAGTGCTTTTCGGCAGTCTAACAGTCCCGAGCTCACCTTCACGGAGTTAGACAGTTGCTCGGCTGTCGCTGCAAATATAGATGTGCTTATGGGAGAATTCTATCGTTGAGGAGTATGATAAAAGGGACAAAAACGCACATATAAATAACCAAAAAGGAATCTCTAACTAAATCGCATAAGCATAAGCATAATAACTTACAGTGCTAAAATGTGGCCTCTGAAAGAAAATACACAAGAAACATTGAGAGCCAGCCGGAAGATCGAGACGGGAGAGGATACCGAACGATACGATGAGGCAGAATATGGAAAAAAACACGACATTATCGATGACATTAGAACCCAATAATTAGTGTGATATTGACATTTCGAGAAAACGCCACAACAACAAATACCAAAGAAATCTAAAATTGGAACCCACAAGGAAGAAGAAAACGAGCTCAAAAGCTGCAGAGAGTCAATCGATTAAGAAGTTAGGTAAAGAGGCTTGGAGGAAGACTTATGGGGAGATAGGGTCCTCCCTAGGAGGTATGTTTTGTTACCGGATTTTTATGACGTCTAGGAAATTAGTTTTATCGTACGATTTGGTTCTTAGAACTTCAAGTAATTATTGTTTTTTGTATAAGCATTTTCTAAATAAAGGTCAAGCTGACTAAGGACCTCTTGCGATACTTATTTTTTGTTGCGCATCTCTGGTACTTTTTTAGCTTAATTGCTATTAGACTGGCTGGTGGAATATTTTGAAGAAGAGAATTTTTTACCTAATATTCAGAAAGTTCACTTGACGTATCCTGATAGTCTAATGGGTCTTGTTTTTCTTTTTGCTGAAACTAGCAAAGCGTTTGGCACCCAACCTTGCCTCCAATCATAGTGCAAAATGAGTGTCCCTTTTCATATATATGCGGGTACATTCAAAATGCAGTTCGATGAACAATTTTGCCAGCTTTTCTTTGTAGTGTCACGGCTGTTGCCCAAAATCTCGCCTAAGTAATATTCTCGTCTAATATTTTGTATTTTGTACGCTAAATTCATGAATTTGAGTTAAATGTTTTGGTGTTCATTCCACCAATCATTGTTCATATTTTTAAATCTACATCGAATTTTGTGCAGAAATCGGCGCATTTCACGACACGGCAATTTTTTTAAAATTTCCGGTACAATGATTCAATTGACGGAATCTGATTACTCTCAAACATCGCATGCATACACTTCCCTGCAAATCCACTTTGCGCATCATTACTAAACACTTTCATTATGCCTTTGTTACATCGTTTCTTCCTTTCCAGTGAATCATTACCAAGGAATTGGCGCAGGGTTGACCTTGGAATGCCAGTTAACTCCACTGTCCCTCCAATGGCGGTTTACATACCCTCCGCCGTTTTTAGAAGACCTGCCTACAAATTTTGCATTTGCTTATTTTATTATTTAATGTTAAAGATTCAGGAATGTTTTAATAAGTGTTGAATGATGTCTTTTCTAACATTTTTTAAAAATTTGAATATGTAGAAACAGTATATTCAATTGTGCGATAATGAAGTTGAAAATATAAGTATATCTTCATATATTCGTATAAAATTCTCTTGTAACACAGAATCAAACGACACTTTCTTTTTGGTTCGTTACTCTCCTCCATTCCCGTCGTCGAAATTTTTTTCAACCCACTTTCTAAACACAATAAATAATCACTGTAGCAACACTAATGGCAAAGCACTATTAAAATTGTACGCTGATAAACGCTTGAAAATCAGCTTTTTGTTGGTTCATTTATTAAAATTCTTTCGTGAAATCTGCGCTTTTTAAAAATGAGAAAATTATTATTTTCAATCTGTTCATAATTCTTTGCCGCCACGAAAACGCAACATCGGGACTTGCAGAAATAGTTGACATGTGTTCGAATATGACTGGAATTGTGTACTAGGATAAACGCGGCCCCATAATGCAACAGCATATTCAGCAAATTGAAAAGTCTTAACTCGACATTTCGTAAAGGACTGGTTAAATTTTTACTTTCTCAGATAAAAGAACCCGGTCTGTATTGACTAGCATATTACCGTAATATGGGGAAAAAGATATATTAATGCTTCACATTAAACCACCATTACAAAAGGAAATAAATACTTTGATTGAATTAGAGACGTTTTTAGAAGACCAATATTGTTACCTAATCTAAGAGCAATCTGTTGCACCGACAAATGTCAATTCTGAGCGAAACGCGTAGTATACGTTCTATCAAAGTAAAGCGTAATTATATATAGCGCTATAGGGTTAGGGATCGATAGAAAACTGGTTAGGTGTTAAATTTAATAATTATGTCTTTTTTAATAAAAATAAAACCATATATTTATTTCTTACAAAAATAAAAACAATATAAACGAATATGCTTTTAAAAAGCAATGTTCTGCGTTTTTGTCAAGATGGTATCTAATGTGGTGTGCGTGTTTCTTTTGCATTCTGTTAGAAATTGGTCCATAACTCCTTTTTACAAACGCTATCAAAAATTCTTTTTGCACTTTTTCAACATCACCGCTATCAATATTTTTGTTTTCTTCTTGCTCAGTAAATTCCTCGACCTCATCATTAGAAAGAGTAGCTGCTGTTTTTTGAACTATTTGTTCGACGTTTTCCACATTTACCTCATCTAAATCGGTTTGTTTCTCTAATTCTATTATTTCATCCATATCGATAGAGTGACCAATGTCTTCCCTTCTACTTAAAGCTGGTCAAATGTTCTGCCATACTCTTTTCAAAGATCTTTGTTATTTCATTCCATTCCATCTGCATTCTTTTCCATACAGGCCTGTTTCATTAACATTAGAAACCAATTTTGGGCGATGGTTTCCTTGTTCGTTTATTGTTTTTATTGTCGCTGACAATTCTGCCGCCGCTTTCGTAGCACCACTTGCTGCCGGTCCTGCAATCTTTATGTTGTGAAGATTATTTCGATGTTTAAATCTATTAAACTATCCTTGCCCAGGTTCACTTATGTCCACTTGCGTGTCAGCCTGAATGTAATGAAAAATTCTTCTAGCTTTTTCCATTGCGGTAGATTGGCTTAATAACACATTGTCTTCAATTTCGTCGTCAATCCATGTTAATAGTCGTTTTTCCATTTCTTGTGAAATGATATTATTAGAACTGGTAATTCTGGATGTAGAACTCGATGCGGTTGCAGTTGCCGATGACAGTATTTTTTCTCTATTCTTAAGAATTGTCCTTATTGTTGAAGTTTCCAAATTCAATGCAGCATTAATTTCAGGTTGACGTTCACCAGTTTCCAATAAAATGCTTTTTATGGTTGTTTTCTTTCCTTGGTTTTTATTATCACCCATGATGAAAACTAAAGATCATATTTGCCACTGGTTTTAATATTTATTATTTTATTTATTTATTAATCGTTATACTTATAAGTATTTGAATGTGTACTTACAATATTGTCAACAAATGTTTTAAATGATAACGATACGTCCAGCGTTAAGCGGGGTCTTACTGTAATGTACTGTGTGGATGTAGCATGTGATTAGGCTTTAAACTGATGTATGTGTGGCTGAGTATAACGAGCATTATTATTGTTTACAATAACATCATTTTGCGGATCCATGGGATTGATGGCTTCGATCCTGCAGACTTGTACGGCATTGTCAACGTAAGGAGCAGAGCCAGGCATTTGAACGATGCCTTATTTCACACTTCTAATAAAAGGAGAATTGTGTTTATACCTCACACACAGCTTGTTATATTGCATTTACCCTTTATAAAGAATATAAGAAATTTCCACTCTACTTTGTTTGATGGAATACTACTTTTGAACCTTACTCGATAAAATTTGTAGGTTTTGGTTCGCGTTCAAGTTCAGTCGAACGGAGTAGCGTCGGTAGGACCGCTCTCGGACCGGCCCAACCCTTCGTGGCCGACCCCAGCATGCCGCCATTACCCTTACCCAATACCGACATTCAATTGGAGGAGACCAGCAGACGTTTACTCATGGAAGTCGACAACAAAGGCAAACTCAGACAACGGTAAGCTTCGCGTTACGCAGCGCACATTGTAAGATTTTCCTAATCTAAGGCGACCAAACTATTCTGTACCCAAAACTTCTTAACTTTTATAAAAATAACATTAACTGGCCACGTTGAAATGCTTAACTTCGGCAACGGGAACCGGCAATATTAACATAATTTTATTGCACCTTTGTTGCCCCGCCACTATGCAGTATATTGTCCACATAATTAACGACTGTATTTCGTACTTTGGAAACAAAACTAATTGCTCTGTTTAGTTTTTCTAAAACTAATTGTCTTATTTTTCTGTTAAACTGAAGAGCTCAACGGCACTTTCAAGAAATCTGTTGGAGTATTTTTGATTCGCCGTGTATCCTGCCGTATTATCACAAACGAATCGGAATCTTGCGAGCACCCATTACAATAATTGTAGCTCTCGACGCGTCGTAAAGGGCTGTTAATAATAATGGTCGCCTTTTTTAAAGAGCAGAAACCTTATAAAACCTCGGAAAACAGCGGACAAGGCTCAGAACATAGGCTTGGAAGTTTTTGATCCAAAAATTATGCAGTCCATCCTCTCCCTTAGCCTTCCAATTGCGGGTCTTTTTAATAGCTTGGGAAATATTTTCTGCTGCAAAGTGATCTATATACATTTCCCCTATTTCAAATGCGCATTGTTCAACATCTACCACAAATGTGGCTGTCTGTTGTCTACTCTTTGGCGACTATATAGAGCTGCAGTAATTTCGAAACTCTTCCTTAGTTGTGTTTGGGGTGGGGGAGGGTGATTTTGTTGTCGCATTCTTGCATAATTTCTTTTTGTGATTTATGAAGGGTGCGTTTTGTTGTTTTCTCTTTGATCCCTAAGCCTTCGCTTGTTGTCTGAAGGGATCCAATACTATTCCTGCTGGGTTCTATATCTTGTTCTAAGCTTGTTTTCCACGCGGCGGTCTCAAGTTGCCGCTTGGAGTTTAGCATATAAGTTCCTTATGCCCATTAATGTCGATGTCGGTAACAGGAGCGATTGTTATTATTATTATTATTATTATTGTACAGGGTGTCCATAAATAACGTTCGAATAATTTAAGAGGTGCTTCTACATAAAAAATAATAAGAAATTTTATTCGTACGAACAAGGGTCCAAAGGATACAGTTTTCCTTTCAAACAAATTTCGACAAACTATTAACAAATCTTCTGGATTCCTCCTGCGTCAGTTATTGATGATGTTGATGCTGATCGACCGTGCTGACGTTTTGTGAATCATCGTGTTGACTTCTTCAGAGCATAACTGAAGCTGGCTTGCTTATATATTGTTTGAGGGAGCGGAGCTAAAGGAGGTGTATGAGGAGATACGGTTACGAATGTTTGGTTGCTTATGGGTTTCTATATATTTTCGAATTTTTCGTTGGTAGAATAATTCACTACACCCTAGAATTTTAGTTTTTAGTGCTTGTATTCGACAACAGCTGATTGGTTTAGTTGTCGTAGTCTTAAGGTTCTTTTTTTCGTTTCCACAATCTTTCTTTGCCGCATATTCATAGAAGCATGTAAACTGCTGATATCTCAAGTGGAATTCTTTTACCAACGAAAAATCCTAGAATCTATAGAGATCTATAAGCAACCAAATCTTAACCAATATGGGAATCCAAAGTCATGTCAAGTAATATTATTCTACTCAGCGAGCATTTCAATTTCAAAGATGCCTCAATATTCGCTTGAAGAAATGATCGACATACAGTTTACATATTTTAGAGCCAATGGTTGTACCCTAGAAGCACTTAGATTATATGTGTAATATGCTGCCCCTGAAATCAGACGCGAGTTACGTTTGTTGATCAGAGAAACACTTTTTTAAAAAAACTTTAATTTGCTTAAAGAATTTTATTGTCGTTAAAAACGGGAACGATTTATAACAACAAAAGCGAGTTGACTGCCTGAAGTTAAGAACAGAACTGGTTCTCCTGTCTCAAAATTTTCTTAACGTTAAGTTGTATACAATTACATAAACGGAATAAAGCGATATCTAAATGCACACTGTGCGATTAAATTATACTAAGATAAGCAGTTTATTGGCATGTAACTCCTCCCCTCATAAGTGTGAGCATCCCTGCTGAAGGGGGTGAACCGTGTCCGTCGGGTATTCTTCATCTTTAACCTTCGTGTGATCCTTCTTTTTAAAGACGATAACCCTATAACTAACATAACAGCAAAATACAATTATTAATACATAAAGGATTATTGTCCAGATGCTGACATCTCTTATCCTAATAGGGTTGGTTAATTCTTTGATTTCTTGAGTCTGTAGCCTAAGGGTTGCTCGAATCGTGTTCAGGTCGTCCAGTTGAATATCATCTAAGACGAGTGGTTCAATGTTCGACGTCGGTCTTTCCATTTCTAGGGTTGTAAAGTTTATCGACGGGAGTTCAATATTTTTATGTCGAATCTTTGATTCTTCATAGATTTTTATAACAGTTCCTTCTAACTTTATTTGGCACTCTCGCACCAATTCCAGTAAATACGGACCTTCTACGGGAATACTTTCTTGTTCCTTGCCGCACGTTTGAACGCTAACAGTTTTTTTCGGAGACACTATTAAAAATTTATTGTTCGATAGTTTCTGGATCTTGCACTCCGACATTATCACTAGGAAAAGTTTACAGTTTGACACATTTTGTTTAAATTGGAGAAGATGAACTTCACAAGGTGATAACTTATTAATCTGTGTTGGTTACCATTATTACAAATAAATTCTCCTTCACTAATTTCCTTACAGGGTGTGTTCGTTAAGATGTATTTATTTTCACTTATCACTAGGAATCCGGCCATGGGAAGGATTGCTTTGTAGGAATCCATTTTTATAGGCAAGGGGATTAATTGGAAGTAATTGTAGTTTTCGTTTTCTGTTAACGGGATTTCAATAATAAATGTTATCTTATTCAGTTTTGAATAACCCTTTATATTACTTACTTTTTCAAAAAGAAGTATATTCTCAAGTTTAGATTCAAATGGCAATTTATTATTTTTAGTTAAAGTCTTTTCAATTGTTTTCATTTCGTCTATCAAATCGCGTGGTTCAATTAAAGGATTATGCAATGTGCCTAGTTTAGAGAATGTTATTGATGTTTCTAAGTTGTCCAAAATTTGCAGAATAGTTTGATATTGCGTCACAACTTGCGAAATTACCATTTCTATAATCAAAAAGTTAAAAGTATCAATATTATGGATATCTGTTTTCTTAATACTATCTTCTATTAGTAGTAATTTACTTTCTAGCATATTTTGATTATATGCCAGTGAACTAATTGTTTTATTAAATCTATTGATCGAATTATCTAGTATCGAAATCTGATTGATGATTAAAGATTTAATTTTATTTTGATTAGATGACAGCGTTTCAATAGCTTTATCATAACGTTCGGCATCGTCGTTATCCAGGTTGCCAGTTATAACTTTAATAATAGAACCTAGGCCATTTATAATTCCACGTTTTTCTCTACCTTGCTCTATAGTATATTGAGGATTTATTTGTGAGATTCCAAGTTTGATTTTATTTTCTAATGTAGTTATTAAATGGTATGAATTATAAAATTCTATTTTAAAGCCAGCACTATTATTATGCTTTTCGAAAGCTTCTCTTAATTTTATCGCTGAGTTAGATGTATAATAATATTCTTTAATTAGATTTGTTATATCGAAAATTTGAACAAATGTCCAGTGGTCAATTTGGTTTTGTGCGTTACCCAACTTAAAGGGGAATAATCCTGGATTATTCTCAATCTTATGAAATTTTGGGTATCTTTGTTCTGCCATCAATCCGCAGTAGAAAAGGAGGAATCTGTAACAGAAACAGGTTTCCTTAGTTCCTTTATATGTGTTATTTCCGTTTTATTTTTATTATTTATTATTTTGACTTATTATTAGGTAGAATTTCGACAATTTCGAAAGGTCCTTTAAATTTATTTTCTTTTTTATTTCTTCTATCGTTACTTTTATAAACCTTTTGCCCAATTTTAAACTGGAATTGTTCTGGTCCTTTAGTATTGTGACGTTTCAAAATCTTTTTTTTTTGTCCTTCTTGATTTTCGGTAACCTTTTGGTATACGGATTGCAGTTTAGTTTTATGATTATTAACGTATTCAGAATAGAACGTATTGTGTTAGTAATTCTTGGGGGTCCCGAGATGCTGTATGCCCTGATATTAGTTCATAAGGCGTAAATTTAGTTGCTGAATGTATGGAACTATTATAAGCGACTATAGCGTATTCCATAAGATTTGTTTCGTTTTTAAATCTATTTTTTAACAACCTTAAATGTTCTAATAGCGTAGAATGGAAACGTTCTATTGTTGAGTTACTTTCGTGATGACTGGGGGTAGTAAAATGAATATATATTTTATGAATTTTTAGCAGTTCTTTTACTGTTTCGTTATTGAATTCGGTACCATTATCAGCTATAATTTTTTCTGGTATTCCGTAGAATGTAAAATAGTGCATTAAAGAGTTACAAATTTCAATTGCATTTTTGCTAGTAATTTTAAATGCTTGCCCTAATTTAGAAAACTTATCAATTATTGTTAAGTAATTCTGACGTCTATGTGTAAAATTTGAAATGGTTTGCTCGGGGTTTCTGTCAAAGCTAATGGACTGTAAGGTTTGTCTCGAGCGTATTTTGCGACCTGACATATTTCGCATGCATTAATATAATTAATAATATCATGTTTCATTCCTGGCCAATAATAATTCTTTCTCAATAATAATAATTCTCAATAGTTTCTATAATACCTCTATGATTTGTTTTTCCCTCGTGATGAAATTTGATTAGCATCTGTTCTTCCTTTTCCCTAACCGTATTTATTAATTTTGTGCATTTAATGAGTTCTAGTCGTTTCTCATAAAAATATTTACGATACACATTATTAAATTCGCTATACTGGGTGTTGTCGTGAAAGTAAATATAAAATTTAGTTCCTAGAGATGTGTGTTTTTTCAATAAATCTAGAATTAAGGTTTCATTATGTTTTGGAATTTTTACTTCCAGAATTTTAAGTTTTTGGAAATCGTTTTGACTTATTATTAATTCGTTATGTATATTGGGTGTAACAATTATTTGGTGTGATTTATTATTTATAATTTCGTCCAAAATTCGGATTCCTTCATTTGTTGCTTCTTGATTTCTGTCAGAATGTACAGTATCTATTAGTTCGACAGGGGTTTGGTGATCGATATTTAAATTTTGTTGGTTTGTACTTGGTGCTATCGGGTTATCGTTTATAACATTTTCGGATAAGTGTCGTAAATAGTCAATTATGTCCTCATTTATATTTCCAGGTTCATTCAATATACTTTCACTTTCAAGGGCGTTAACCTGAATTCGCGATAGGGCGTCGGCGTTCGCGTTTAATTTTCCTGGCTTATAGATAACTTCATAATCAAATTCTTCGAGACGAAGTCGCCAACGTACTAACTTACTATTAGGTTCTTTCAGATTAAAAAGCCATGACAATGGTCGGTGATCTGTATAGATTTTAAATTTTTTTCCGTACAAGTACGGCCTAAAATGTTTGCAGGCCCACACTATTGCTAGCAGTTCTTTCTCGGTTGTAGAATACTTAGTTTCACTATTGTTTAATGTTCGAGAAGCATAAGCCACAGGTTTATCATTAGGAACGTCTCCTTGGGAGAGCACTGCACCAATAGCAAAGTTACTAGCGTCGGTAGTTAAGTTAAATGATTTTTCAAAGTTAGGGTATTGTGGAATAGGCGAGTTTATTAACATATCTTTACAAGTTTTGAAAGATTGTATAAATTCGGGCGAATGAATTACTTTCGCTTCTTTTTTTAGACAAAGAGTTAGGGGTTTAGTTAATTTCGCAAAGTTTTTAATAAAGCGTCTATAATAACCGAGTAGGCCTAAAAAACTTTTAATTTCTTTTTGAGTAGTGGGTATTGGGAAGTTCTTAATTACGTGTATTTTATCTGGGTTTGGTTTGACACCATTAGGCGTGATAGCATGTCCTAAGTACTGAACTTCCTTCCTAAGGAACTCCGATTTATCAAGTTGTACCTTTAGATTAGCTTCTCTCAAACGATTAAAAATTTGTCTAAGTCTTAGGATATGTTCTTCGAGCGAAACCGAGAATATAATTATGTCGTCAAGATAGACGGAACAAATTTCGTTATGTAAACCTCTAAGGATATTGTCCATAACCCTTTGAAAGGTGGCTGGTGCTCCTTTCAAACCGAAAGGCATTCTTTTAAAATGAAAATGTCCGTGAGGTGTGCAAAATCCGGTTTTAGAAACATCATTAGGGTCTACTTCGATCTGGTGAAAGCCAGAAGCTAAATCCAAAGTGGTGAAATAATTTGATTTACCTAATTTATCGAGAATATCGGCTATGTTTGGGATCGGGTAACGATCATCGATTGTTCTCTCATTTAACTTACGATAATCAATTACCAAACGCCATTTTTTCTTTCCCGACGCGTCAGTTTTTTTTGGGACGATCCAAATTGGGCTAGACCAAGGTGAATCAGAATGTTCTATAATGCCTTGCTCGAGCATCCTATTAATCTGAGAGGTTATTTCTTCGCGATGTACTTCGGGAAAATGATAGCTTTTAGTATAGATAGGGGTCTCATCTTTTACTTTAATTTTATGTTTTGTTTTATTAGTAAAACTAAGAGGAATTTTTTTCTTCCGAATTACAGTGACTTAATCTAAGGTTTTTTAAATTTTGTTTCAAAATATTATCTTGGGAAGTGCTTAAACAATTTTCTTCAATCTCCATTTTATCAATAAAGTTTGTTTCTGCTATATTAATATTTTCGATTTCTAATGGACCATTAAAATTTATTTTCACAGGGTTTTCGTTAGAATTAGTGGCAATAGTCAATGCGAAGTTATTTTCAATATTCACTAGAGCTCTGGGTATTTCTACTTTGCTACCTAAGTTGGTATAGTCCAAGATACCTAAACCATTGGATTGGTTTACAGGGACTTTTATTACTTTTTGGGATCTACCGGGTACAGTTACTGAATTTGAGAAATTTCGAAACGGTTCTGACTTATTATTTTGTATGGGTTCTTGTGTGTCTTCGAAAATCATTGGTATTTCAGTTTTTGTGGTTCTTAACACCTTTTTGTTAAAGTCGATACTTGCGTTTATTTGTTTTAAAAGGTCGTCACCTAATAAACCATCGTATTTTTCGGAAAATTTAAAGAGATAAAGTTTTATAATTTCATTTGTTTTGAATATTTTAAACGCTGGAATTTGTAATACCCTATCATGTTGAGAAATTGCGTGGGCAGTTTTGATAAAAAAGTTTTCAAAAGCAATGTTCGATTTAAAATATTTTTCTGCAGTTTGTGGATTTATTAACGATCTAGAACTACCTGTATCTATTAAAAAATATGAGTTAATTTCTGGGATATAAATATATGGCAAATCAAGTCTGTGGTGGTTTATATCAATTACGTTTATTGATTGGTATTGATCTGTTAGGTATTGTTGTTGGTAGAAGAATCCATTTGAAAATTTTGCTCATATGATTCGAAATTATCGGGTTGGTAGTCGTAGTATTCGTATGGATTAGCAGGATAATCCATATAATTTGGGTCGAAATCGGTTTCATGTAGATTAGCAGTATAATCTACTGTATTTTCATAATTTTCAAATTGTTGGTTTGTGTTTTCTTGTATAGGGGAATAATTTAATTCTGATGTCGATTGATCAGGAATATTACCATTACTTTTCACGGATTGTGCAAATAATTCTTGAGCTACAAAATTAGGTTTCGGAAACATACGTGTATTTCCTGAGCTCGTATCCATAGGTTCTGGTTGATTATTTTTCGGAATATTTTGGTTTCTAGCGGTTTGATTTCTTAATATTGCACTTGCACGTTGATTAGCAAAGATCGGATGTTGTTGATTAGGAAGTCTATTATATGGTTGCCAAGTAATAGGTCTTGGTTGATTCTGTGGCGGACTTTGAAATGGTCTAAACATTGGTCTATAGTTTAATTGGTTTTGATTTGGCATTTGAGGAGTTTGATTTAGAATATTTTTAAAATTAGATTGGTTATTGTGAAAATTTTGAGACTGGGGGGGTCTAAATAGGTTTATTGGCGTTCTCACAAAGTTTTGATTCATTCTTGGTTGCGGTTTATACATTGTATTAGCTAAATTGCTATTATGACCTGTTTTGAAATATACGAAATTTTCTTCTTCAGTTACATAGGCCAGTGCTTGTTCTAAATTATCCGGATTCTTTAATCGAGTTACTAGTTGCAGATGGTATGGTAATCCATTAATAAAAGTTTTTAATGCAAAATCATCATAATGTCTAATTTTAATATTTCGTTCATTTACTTCTTGAATTTCTGAACTCAATTTGGAACACAAAAGACTTCTAGCATCCTGGATTCGCATGCCGAATTGGAGAGGTGTTTCAGACTTTAACGGTTTCATACTAATTAAATCTTGAATCAAACAATCAATACTTCTCTGGTCACTAAACGTTTGAATTAAAACGTTCTTAATTAATTGCCAAGAATTTAGTTCACTTCGGCTACAAATCAAATCAGCGGCTCTACCACATAATTTACTTCTAATTGCATCCAGAATTATTATATTTACATTATATTTACATTATTTTGATCTAATTAATAATTTCGGATTGCCATCAAATGGGGCAATGTTATCAGTTTGGAATCTTATTAGAGGAATATTTAATGCCATTTTATTACTTCGAGATGTATTATCAAGTTGTTCGTCTAAGCTAATGTCTAGAAAATTTCGGATCAATTCGTCTATACTATCGAAAGTTATTGACATAAACAGTACGAGGGTAAAATTGAGGTTTAAACGAATCTCTTATAACTACAATTACTACACTAACAATGGAAAATGGGAAATTGGAATATTCGACTTACAGTGATGGGATTTTCATTGCTTGGTTTCTTCGACTGTTTGTTTTTTCTTTTCTTCTTCCTAGCCTAACGCCTATAGGAACCGGAGATGTGTTCTAGCTCCCAGGTCTTCCTAGTCTAATTTGGACGAAGTTGGTCCTGTTCCCTTGCACACAGTTCAATCCGGAGGCGATTTTTGTCCTCTTCGAAGATCACGATGTACTAGTGTCTCTTGACTGTTCCGAACTTGAATTTACGGTTCGTCGATAAATCGCTTCGGCGATTTTTGTCCGAAATTTGCGAAATTACCGAAAAATCCGCTCCGACTGCGCCAGTTACGTTTGTTGATCAGAGAAACACTTTTTTAAAAAAACTTTAATTTGCTTAAAGAATTTTATTGTCGTTAAAAACGGGAACGATTTATAACAACAAAAGCGAGTTGACTGCCTGAAGTTAAGAACAGAACTGGTTCTCCTGTCTCAAAATTATCTTAACGTTAAGTTGTATACAATTACATAAACGGAATAAAGCGATATCTAAATGCACAGTGTGCGATTAAATTATACTAAGGTAAGCAGTTTATTGGTATGTAACTCGCGTAATCCAAAAGAAATTAAAAAAATGTTTAAAATCTCTACTGACGCCAACGGTTTTTCATAGTTTGTCTGAATACGGAAGTCATAGGTATCATAGATAAAAAGAAAAAAGTTTTTATTTGTTTTTATGTGGTATTTAAAAAAATAATTATTTCGAAAGTTTCCTTTGTAATATTGCTATTGGTCAATAAATGTCTACTGCACTCCTTGTGGTACATGGAATTGGATCTTCCGACCTAACAATTCGGCTTTCAGCCATGGAAAAATAATTGCATTGATTTTAAAGTGTTTACAAGGATTGTAGCTCTATTTTTATGGAGAGAGTGAAAAATATTGTGAGTTATTTCGACCAATTTTACTTTAAATTCTCTCAGTAAACATATCTGGATTTAGAAACGTAATTAATAGCTTTTCTATTTTAGAACGTCGAACAGGCACCACCCTGATTTAGCTCAAAGCGGCCAATCAACGTTGAGAAAGTCGCAACGGGGTCGGCAGCCTGCTGACGAGGTGACCACCACCGTTGTGTTTTCGTTTTGCGACGAACAATTTCCGTATCGGACGAAAATTCCGGGCAGCCACGTGACTCTCAAACAGTTCAAAGACTATTTACCGAAGAAAGGGAACTACAGGTGAGCGTGTTTTTATATTTTTTAAATGGATAAGCGGTTGGACCAGCTTTTTAGCGAGTTAGATTGCGAGGCATAGAAATTAAAGTACCTAATCTTCGTGTGGATGAACCCTTGATGAGTGAAATGATATTTTACAGTTATTTGCAACTTTAAAGAAGCCTAGAAAGCTGATCTTCTCAATGTATTTATCGTTGGATTAATTTAAGGCTTACATTGAGTGGCATTGATACCTTACAATCCATGTTACATCAAAAAATCTACTCAATTATAAATTATAATTAAATAAATTCAGGACGATATTTTTATTATTTAAAACTCTTTTTTTTTCTATATTAGGCATACTTTGTGTCCTATACTTGATTTAATTTTAAATAATAACATTGCCGCTTATGCCTATAGTGACTAAAGTAACTAACCAAATCTTCACTCATATATAACTGACATTAATTTACAGGTTAATCTAAATTAAGTGTTCATCATTGGTAACTTTATTATATGTAAAGATACAAAGTCTGTTAAATTAGCAAAATGATTGACGGAGAAAACAGAAAACCAATTGAATGTAGGGTTTTGGAAATAATGAGGAAAATGTCTTTTTAAATGGAACACCCTGTAGATTTTTGACTCTAAGGGTTGTAAATCTCCAGCAGAACAAAAAAGGTTATATATATATATATATATATATATATATATATATATATATATATATATATATATATATATATATATATATATATATATATATATATATATATGTATGTATATATGTATATATATTCTCACGTATTGATTCACGGATGGAAAAATGTGATGACACTATATTCCGGGATATCATCCGTTCGCTCGTTGAACTCCGAGTGGAATCCTGCAAATCCTGCATCCGACTGGGAATCCTGCAGACGTTTCGCCAAAATCTCACTTGGCATCTTCAATGCTCGCGCTCCGTGTTCGAAGTGTTTTCGGAGCGCGAGCATTGAAGATGCCAAGTGAGATTTTGGCGAAACGTCTGCAGGATTCCAGTCGGATGCAGGATTTGCAGGATTCCAGCCGGATGCAGGATTCCAGTTGGAGTTCAACGAGCGAACGGATGATATCCCGGAATATAGTGTCATCATATATATATATATATATATATATATATATATATATATATATATATATATATATATATATATATATATATATATATATATATATATATATATATATATATATATATATATATATATATATATATATATATATATATATATATATATATATAATTGAAAATAATCGAATTATCAGCACATTTCTCTTTTAGACCAGCTGGCTATGAATGGTTGCGAAATAAAACTCCATTGTCCTTTTATTGTTTTATTTGATCTTAAGAAACATGAAAATCAGAACACAGAAAAACTAAATAACCTAATTAATTTATACAAGTAGAAATCAAGTGGAATCTGGTGCCCTAGGCGGACAAGGAAGAGGTCCACTTGTAGCAATCTATTTATTGAAAATGGTTGTCAAAAATTGATATGTGCCTCGGAAGTTATGAGCTGGTGCGCCATCTTGTTGTAAATGGGAATTCTACCTACTTATACGATCAAGGTCACCTAGAAAAGCATTCAGAATTTCAGTATTTCAGCGTGCCATCGTAAAAATGTGGACCAACAATACGCGAACCAAACTTTAAAGCTGAAAGCAACTTGTGGGCCTCGGGTATGTACTAGGAATAAATTTTCTCTTGACCAATAGTGATAATTATTTCGATTTTAAATTCCAGAATTTAAAAAATTTCATTCGTCAGTCCACAAAATATATCGAAAATTATTTAAATTTTGGCCGCAAACGTTAACATACCAATTATAAATAGTCTTCTCTCTGCATCCCCTGCCAAAAGCACCTGAGCTGGTCGGAATTTATAAGGGTAGAATAAAATAAAATTTTTTCGTCTCCTTTTTGCAAAAACCGTTTCATTATTTCTAAAGATTCGATAAAGGCGCAGTAAAAATTGTTAATGTGGTGGGACGCTCTGAGGATATAGGTTCATGTATCGTTCTCTTGCCCTTGCAGACGATTTTCTGCATTCCAAATAGCATTCTAACACTTTTCTTCATATGTAAAAGTCATTGTTGAATAAGTGATACGGTAAAATTAATATCAATAACAGTTTATATAACAATACTAATAATTAAGACATTAAAAGTAATTTTTTGACAAGTTGTTTTCTAATTGGCAGGGCTGTCATTATTTTGTACAGCCTTCTGTGACCAATTTTTTCTACATCTTTATCGAATTTTTAAAAACAATGAATGCGTTTTTGATAAAAGAATGAGATGAAAACATTTTATAATAAATGAAGACGGGGATATTGTTGTTATTATTATTGTTTCTAACGCTCTAATAAAACAGTAAAAGGAAAATGGAGTTTTATTTCGCAACCATACATAGCTATCTAGTTTAAACGAGAAATGTGCTGATAGTTTGGTTATTTTCAATTTTAGAAATATTGCATAAGACCTTCTTTGTTCTTTTGATGATTTACGAACGTTAAAATAAAAAATATACAGGGTGTACGTTTTTCTTATTTTTTTCCTAAACCCCACATTCAATTGTCTTATCAGCAAGCAAAACACTGCAAAACAAAGCGACTGACGGCATACCAAGTTTTATCGTAAGAGACTGTTCCTACGCACTGTATGCCTCTTTATGCCACATTTGTAACCTGGTACCTGAAACGGGCGTTTCTCTATAATCTTAGAAAATTGCCAAAGTTTATTCTATTCTCAAAGAAGGTGATCATTACAAAATTTATCTTTGCTCAAATTCGAAATCAACTCTCTACACAACAATATGGTTTTTATGCAAAAAGATCATGTATCTCCAATTTATTTTCTCTGTCTTCTTACATCTGTGACTCCCCGAACAAGCAAGAGCAAGTTGACGTTATATGTACTGACTCAGAGGTCCTATCTGGTGCAACGTTGACAGTTCTTTGAAATTGAGGACTCCTTTTTTTCCAACTTCTGGTGGGCCTCAGGGTTTTTACCTTGGACCATATCTGTTCAATATATTCATATATAGTCTCATATCTTTGATCATCTTCGACAAGGTTGCCTATGCAGATGACCTAAAACTATATCACTGCATCTGCATCAAAGCCGGTACGGACTGCATGACTCTCCTGGCCAACATCAGTATTGTCAGTCAATGGTGTACTAAAATTAAATTGCATCATAACATCAGCAAGTATAATGTATTTTCTTATGTGGGGATTTTATTTGACCAAACGTTCTCATTTATACCTCACATTACTAAAATGGTTTCCAGTACAATGCAAATTTTAGGATTTATAATAAGGAATTCCAGGCATTTTTGTAGCTCATCTACTATAAAAATATTATTTAACTGTTAGGTTAGGTCCAAGCTTGACCACGGTGGTGTCGTCACCTGTATATAACTGCCACTCTCAGTCTATTGAGAGTGTGCAGAAAAGGTTACTGAAGTAGTATTAATGTGCCGTGGCTCAACGGGAGACATCAATAAGCTTTCTTAACGCAATTATCCAGATCCAATATCCATATTCAAAACCCTATTTACAATATGTGTGTTAACTTCAATAAATTATCATCACAGTGTGATTTATATTATGATGGTCTCCAGGCGATCCTTAGATAGCTTCGCGTGGTTCATACTGAGAAGCCTTATCCTCTTATCTTTTTTTTCTTTTCTTAGTTATAAAATTAGTACTTTTAAATGATTTCGTTGAGGTTATTGTAAAATTTTCGGGAAGTGGCCTTTTTTTCATTTTTTGGGTGAAGTAGAATTGGTCAAATTAAATTTTTAAATTTAAACACGATGAATTAACCATTTTAGAAATGGAATCTACAGTTAAATGATAAATAAAATTAACTCCAGTTGAGTTAATAAAACGAAAAGATAAATTATAAAAAAGGGAATCCTCAAAATCTGCATCTTCTTAACTCTTCTTAAATAAGATTATAGGGTTGAAGAATAAAGTAAATAATATGATAAAATCTTTAAAACATTTTACAACATGATGGGAAGAGACAGGTACCAATGTGAAAAAGCAGTGGTTATTTGTAAACAAATTTTTAAAAAACAAAAAGGTGAAAACGCCTTTCATCGTTAAATGGCTGTCACTGATAAAATAGCTAAACGGGAAAAATATTTTCATAGAAATTGTTTCTGACATTTAAACTTTTAAGTATGGGTACTAATTTTCCGGACATTACATGTGAGAAAAATTCTAACTAGACCTGACTAATGAGCAGGAGATACCATATCTGAACTGAAACAAAACTCAGCGACAGTCAAGGGCATACATAACCTAAAAAAGGAAATTGTAAAAATTATAACGGTATTAGTTAATGATGTCTTAAGTTCTGGTACTTTTCCAGAATAATTAAAAATAAGTAAAATATGTCCAATTTTCAAATCTGGGAAGAGAGAATATATGAAATTACAGGCCAGTTGCAGTGATAAACGTCTTCTCGAAAATTAAAGAAAAGCTGATAAAGGGCTTTTTGTATTAACAGTATTTGTTGAATTAAAAAAGTAGTTAGCGTTTTGACTTCTTCAGAACTTAACTGAAACTGGCTTGCATTCTACTCTGTACCTGCTTAAATATTGTTGATTTCCATATTGGTGAAAGTTAAACCTTAGTCGCGGTCAAGATTGTGTAATTGCTTATAGATTTCTATAGATTCTCGGAACAGAAAATCTATAGAAAGGTTGATTTAAAAACAACTGACGTAGAACGAATCCAGAAGATTGGTAAATAAATACTATTACAGTAGCCTGTGAAAGTTTCTTTGAACAATTAAAGGTATACTGTTTGAGATTTAGAGGAATATTATATAGTATTATCAAATTATATTTTACAGGCAGAAAACAGTAAGTCAAGTTAGATGATATAAATAGTGATATGCTGTTGAGTGAGTGCGGAGTGTTTCAAGGTTTTGCGCTGGTGCCATTACTGAATTAAAAAAATGTTAGGCTTGTAGCATAACTTCTCTTTTGCTGATGATACTGTGTTGCTTTACACTGGAGGAGAGTAAAAACCATTAAACAATAGTGTGAACACTAACCTTAATCTCTACTTAAGTTGGCGATATTAAAAATAAACTGAAAATAAATGCCCATAACATAAATTTTATAATATTTAAATAAAAAAAAGCAGGTCCAAAATTTAAACATTTAAATAAAAATATAAAGCATATAAAGTCTGCTAATTGATAATAAATTAAACTCTTCCGGGCATATTGAATATTAGTATTTAGAATGAAACTAACCAAAACTAATTTTAACACTGCTCAAGTGCTTCAGAACAGAATTGTATAATGAACAAATTAAATAATTTACAAAATATTAAATGAAACACAAAAAAATATAATCTAACTATCAGATTTATTCAAGAACTTATAGGACTTAAGCAAAGGTTAGGTATTGTTGTAAATAAGTGAATCCACCTACACTGTGATAAGTAATTGCAAGCGTTCTCGAAGCCAAAGCTATTAGGCACTGTTTATAGAATTTGTTATTATAGTAGTGTAATGATATAGGGATGTAATGTTTCAAAAAAAAAAAGTAATTTTGAATAATGTGTAGACTTCTTATATAAACTCGTATAATTTTAACATTTTAATTCGCTTATTGTCATTTTTACAACCCAGAATACACCACCAAAACACGTTTCACCAATTAATGCAGTTTAGACGGAATCAAATCACACTTTCAAAAAGACCAAAATTCTGAAACAGCTGTGACTTTCATTTGCTGTGACGGTAGCGATAAGCAATAAATTTGCTCTTTTGCAATTTAAAATGAAAATCTATTTCTTTTTCTTCTTAGTTTTTGTCGTGGTTCTTGTTTGCTTTGATATTTTCCATAAAAATATATTAAAATTTTGGTTTCATATATTGGCCATTTGTGTTCTTTTTCGTTGCAGTATTTGGGCTAGCAACGCTGAGAAAATGTTGTTTATTTATTATCATAAATTCTTACATTTCTAAAGAAACCTCGAATATTAGGTTCGCGTTAATTATGTTAGAATGACCTTCAAACAAACAGTGTATCTTATGCCCCGTTATTTTCGCCCTTTTTAGATTCTTCTTCAAGACTGTTTGCGAGGATCTCGGCAACCAAGTTATACAAGAGGAGGTAAGCAACGACGGAGACGTACTTCCTTTGTGGGAGGGCAAAATCATGGCTCAGGTGAAGCCCGTCGACTGATACTTTTTTAAATTTTCATAAGCCGATAGAAGATAAGGACCGCTCGCAAGATTTCGGGAAGCGTCGGTAAATCTCTAAAGTTTCGGTGTAGATTTACGCGACACAATTTTAAGTTTGCCTAAAAATGCTTTTCGGTCCATATTTAAGGGTTGTTCAGTCTCTATGAGTAATATTCACAAATCCAGATTCAAAGTAGATGCTACAAAGTCCAAATATGCAGTGTGATTCACTTTATATTAGGGTTTCAAAAAGATTTGCTTCTTTCTGGAATATGTAAAGTTTTATTATGGGTACTTTTAAAAATTCCTTTCATTTTATACAGGTTGTCCCAAAAGTGTTAAAATGTAACCAAGTTACATTTCTCAAATTAATAACAAGTGTTTCAGGTATGTGAATTATAAAAGGCTTTCCATATTATAAATGGTTGTCAAAAATCTGTTCTGATTTACTAAGAACGCCATATTTTTTAGCTTACTGGGGAATGTACTTTTTACTTATTTTTTATTTTACATTACATATAGCTTACTATTCGTGTTTTGACAGAATCCGTGAAATTAACATTAAGTTCTAGTTTGTTTATTGGATAGTCTGTGAATTTAGATATTAAGATCTTAAGAGTTACAACTTGTGACATGATTCAAAACCAGGTTCAACAACTAGTTGGTACTATAAACAATAAAATGCATAGTGATAAATAATATTATTTATTATCCAGACTACAACGGCAAACTAACTTATAAAAACAACCAATTTTCAAAATGTCTACAAACTGTTGCTAATTCTGGATAACATTTGCGTTATTACAGTGTTTCCATCAAAATAAGTGTAGTGGTGCTAAGTCTGGAGATCTGTGAGACCCATTTCAAAACACATTTCTTCCAATCCTACTGATTTCAAAATTTGGTGAACTGCCCAATGATAATGAGTTGTTCTAATGTGTTAAACATTACAAAAAATAATACACCTATAGCGCAGTAAGACAAAACTGACAGCTATAATAATTATTTTTATTTTCAAAACACCAATTAGCGTCAAAAATTTCGCGTATAGTTAAGACAGGTTAAATCATTCGATGGGTAATTGAAAAGTACAAAGTTAAAAATATGGCGTTCCATTTCAATTAATCAAGTTACAGCCAGAAGTTATATTTTGCGCACCTTGTATATGCGAAGTTGTTTATAATACCAATCGGATGTAAAATATGGTCTATGGTTACAGTGAACCCTGACATAATTTAAATATTTTTGATATATTTGAGAATTATTATTATTATGTTATTACTTATTTTGATCGTAGAATCTGTATTGTATGGAAGTAATTATAGAAAGTAACCCTAATAGGACATTACACTTACAAAAGTTATATTTCGAAAAACTTAGCGTGAATATCATTGTACATATTGGACATATTCTTTTCGTTGATCTTATGCATTCAAACTTTCCGAATCAGTGTTGCAAACGTAAAAGTATATATGTTGTCAATAATCAAATGAACGTCGGAAGAAGTGCCTTCAAACATTCGAAATGTTTAGTTTTTGGCGCCATTAGCAATACATTTAGACAATCACTCCCTTATATTAACACGGTTTTCAGAAAATAAAAAGCAACCCGGCAGCTGTCTTAACGTTTGACAACTTTACGTTGATAATGGTGGATTCACGCACGTGTTAACAAAACAACAGTTTATTTAGTTAATTCATTAAAAATCAATGGCGCGTACTCACTTGCCAATAGAAAATAATCCAAAAAAAATTTGGTTGTACGTGATTGATTTTGTTGGTAATAAATTCAAACACAAATTGAAACACAACAGCCTGAACAGACATGTTCGTGACGCACATGCGCATATTTGATTGGACGTAAGAAATTAATGAAAAGTTACATGTCCTTAATCAAAACACTAATTAAAGGACCATTTAAATTTTTAATTTTAAATTAGTGTAAATTTTTATGGATACTTGCGTAAATCCCCCATAAGTCACGATTTAGCTTGTCTGGCCGTTGTAACCTCCCCAGCGAATGCAAAAAAACTTGTTTTTTTTTAATGAATTTCACCCGACTTTAATGAAATTTTAGTATGTTATAGAACTAGTTCACTTTTTTTAGAAGACAAGATGATGTAACTAGAATATGTTCATTTTTCGTTTTTCCTTTTATATGTATGAACTTTTTATTATTGAATTTTTTAAAATGAAATTGACACGGATATCGCCTTTAACTCTTTATTTATTTTTTTCGCAAAATGGAAAAAATCAAATAATTATTTGGGTATTGTTAGGCGTTAACGTTCAAAGTAATGAGTCGGAAATTTTATTTTTACTGCTATGAAACAAGATTTTACGAAAGTATCACCTGTTATTCATATAAGTTTTAAGTTATGGTAAAATAATAATTGTAGTAATAGTAAAGAATGTCGAAAGCTCTCTGTTTTGTGCAATAGCTCCGAAAGTCAACAAAAAATAAAATAATAGGTTTTAGCTTAATAAGGCAAATTTTTGAAGAATAAGTTAAAATTTCTGACTTAGTCAGAATTTCCGTGTCAGGTCAGAAAAACAGTCATAATTTCTGGAAAACAAGTGAGAATTTTTAACATGGTTTTCACAGAAACGAAGCAAATTGAATCATCAGATATATAAGGTGATTTATAAATAATTTGGAATCTAACTGGAGGCAGACACCAAAATATTATGAAATTCCAACATTGTATTTGATTTTTTTTATTATTATTACCAAAATTGTTATTGTTAAATATTTTTTTTAATGCTCTCCTCTTATCTTTTAAGTATTGGAAAGAATACCTTGAATTATATAAGTGTAAATAAATCAAAAACCGATTTAGCTCACAAATTATAACTTATATTACAAAAATTTTGACTTATTTTCCGACTTTTTTTTTCAGAAAATTTGACAGCTCATAAATTTTGACTTCGCGTTTAATAAATAAAACCTATCTTTATGTTTTTTTGGTCTGAGAATAAAATAACTTTTGACACGTTGGAAAATAATTATTGACGTTACTTATACACAAAAAGAATAATTTAAACTTAGATAAAGTACCTTCTATGAAACTGCATTGACATAGTAAAATAATAATTAATTTATTTAATATTGAGAAATTGAAAGAAAAAACAAAATAATTTTCTGTTTTTTAATCTTTATTTAATCCACCGCAACATACTAAAACTTCATTAAATTCTCATGCATTTCTGCGGGGTTCTTTTTTTTTTAATTTTATTTAAATTACTTCAGTATTGTAATTGCGTTTGTAATTTTTATTTTAACTAATTTGATTAAATTTAGAGTTACGAAGCTTTGCTTAGTCGATTTTTGAGATTGTGTTGTATTCTTTTGATTAGTCATGAGTATGATTTTATTTTTGTCGGTTTAAAACGACATTATTTCCGCTCCATTATTTCTAAATAGCGCGTAGTATAATTAAAAAACATACCTCAGTCCTTTATTTAACGCGGATGGAGAAAATCGTCGGGTTTTTCTATCGTTAGGCTAGTTGCCTGTAAATTTTTTACTTAATTTGCGATAGTTTTCGTTTAATCGTTAGAACTGATTTTACGTAGCGTTTAATTTTGGCGAAGTTGGACGGGTCGGACCTACCATTTTATTTTTATTATTTATTTTCATTGCGGCGACTCGGTCGGCACGACCCTCTTCCAATTTTACCGGAACACCCTTTCTTATTTTTAGTGTATCATACGGTTAGTTGTCGACGTGTGGATAACTTATCCTCCTTTTTTTAACAACAAAAATACTTATTTTTTATATAATAAACGGTATTTTCTAATCGACGGTAAAAATTAACGCAGTATTTTTTTAATAGTAAAATTAAAATTCGACGTTTTTGTTGCCGCGATAATTTTGATATCGAAAGTTTGTCATTTCGAAATACTGTGCACCTTTTCGTTTGTATTTTGTCACGCAAATACAAAATTAGTATTTTTTACTTTACGAGTTTTACTCCTTCCCTATACCTTCTACTAGTTTGCGTTAATTTGATTAATGCACAGTGTTCAGAGTCTGAAATGGTCACCAGAAGGCAAAATTGCCATCTTGGATTTTAAAACCAGTTTTCTTGTAATTTTTTTTTTGTATTGATGATGCTTAGAGTGAACACTCAGAAAAATTCAAATCATTTTTGTTAGATGCTTCGTTAACTTCGAAACTTGGCGTCTCTATAAAGGGCTAGGTTATTAAACTTGTTATGAGTGAGATGATTGCGATTGTGTACCCTGCCCCCAGATGGCAGCTAAAAGAATGACGAAAAAAATATTTTTTAGAAAAAAAACTAAATGTGACAATATGATTTTTTACGAAGCCAGATAGTCGGCACAACAACCCAGTGGAAACCGCATCTCAATATCTTTATCCTAATCTAAAATAGGAATAAAAAATTAATAAAAAGACTCTTCTGTCTCTACAACTTGAAAAAACTTTCAAACATGATTTATGAAAAAACTGAAAATTTTCGTTTATGTTATAACCAGAATCACATTGCAAAATTTGAAAAACTAACGTCAACGCTAGTGTGGTAAATGTTTATGGCACTAACTTTCTGATGCGGAAAAATCAATTCCCTGCAAAAGCTTTCAACTTCATCCTGCCTCACGTATTATCCCAAAAAAGGAAATTATCTCAAATGTCGGATCCATCCTAAACAAACTGCCATCTCAATTAAAACATGCATAATCCAAAACTCCTAAATATAATATTCCAAAGCCTGAAAGCATTGCTCTAAAATCTTTAAAATCTAATCCCGACATCATAATTCTAAAAGCAGATAAAGGAATTCTTACAGACGGATCCTATCGTCAATTTAAAAAAGATCTTATGCCATCTGTGGAACCTTAAATTATAGGTTTTTCTCTATCAGAATCCATACTCTAAAATTCCCGTTTATTCAGACTTCCTAATATTCACAAACCAAGATTACCCCTTTCAGCTATTGACAGCACCATTGGTGCTGGCTCCTATATTAAAACCTTTTACAGCGAAAACTGATAGTTTCGTCATTGAACAATTATATCTACAGAATATTCAGGTTAGTTTCAACAAACATCGGGAACAGCTATGGGTTCTCCATTACCACCAGTCATTGCGAATATGTTTATGCAAGCCTTTGCGAAGGAAGTCCTCGACACCGGAAGGTGCGCAACCAACCAACCAAACCATGGAAACGCTACTTTGATGATACTTTTGTTATCTCACCTCATGGTCCAAAATCCCCCCGAAATTTTCTTAGCTACTCACACTCCATACACCCGAACATACGTTTTACCATGGAATTCGATTCTAATAATAATCTCTCATTCTTACATATTTTTATCAAGAGAAAATCAGACCTAAAATTGGGTCATTCTGTTTACAAAAAACCTACGCACACAGACCGATGCCTTAATGCATTGTCTCTTCACCATCCGGCCTAAAAATCATCGGTTATCAACTCTTTTGTCTTCGGAATCGCAAAAACTATCCCAGCCCAAGTCACTGACCCCAGAATTTTAACATCTTACATCTGCTCTTCTCTAATGATTTCCACATTAGATATATTAAGCGTTCCATCGCAAAATACACTTCACCACAACCTTTCAAAGACAATGTGAGTCAGAAAGCAACACTTGCCACTGTTGTTCTGCCTTACAATCAGTCACTGACCACATGTCAAAAGTTCTAAACAAATATAACGTCAAAACCAGATTTACCACTTATCCAAAAATCCATATCTGTATGTGCCTAAGAATACCAGGCGAAAAATATCTCAAAGAACATGAAAGAGCCTTAAAAAAAATAAATAAACAAATAAACTCATCAGCAGTTGCCGAATACAATTACGAAACAGGGCATCAAATTTTATTCGACAAAACTAAAAAAAAATAAACAATGGAACTTTCAAAACCCCAATGCAGATTTCAATCAATGAGCGTATTCTACGTTCAAGCATTATACATTTCTTCAGCTTGTGACAATGCATTTGCTAAGGGAATTGAAAGCCAAGGCCTAAGTAAATATCAGGAATCTCCAAGGAGAAAATAACCTTTATGTCCTCTGTTATACAGTTCTGCTCCCCGAAATTGGTTCATTTATCTGTTGAATTTTTAAATTTGCCGCACAAATCAGAGTGTTTATAGAACGGTAGTGTTTCCCATTAACAACATGTTTTTCTGGAGCACCTTCTGTAGCCACATGTAGTACAATGGTTATTTGAGTTACGTTATGCTGGTACTCTGGCGTACTCTAGCGGGACCGTATGTATCTACTTCAATGAGGTGTTCTGGTCGACAGCAAATTCGTCCGTTTGCGGATAGATAATGGTTATAAAGCTAACGGCTGTTGCTAAATTTGAAAAAACTGCTAGAGATATCTTCTGTAAACTTTAAAAAACGCTATTTCGTAAAAATAAGGACAAAATTTTCCCAACAAATATCTGATAATAGCTCTCATTACTAGCATTCTATATTTTACAAAACTTAAGTAATGTAAGTAGATATATAGTACCGATATAAGAAGCAAAAACCGCACATAACCTCAATTTTCTAACCCACCCACAGCGGGGGCCCCCCGCGCGTGGCGGTCCGGCCCGTCTTAGTGTCCCCCCTGGCTACCAGAGTGCGCTCCGCTCCCCACCCAGCTTGTGTAGCGTCCTGTTTTGCCCCGGTTCCGCCCGTCGCTGTTAGATGTCGCGCGCTCCGACCGTCGTAGGCCCCCCCGGTAGAGGGCGGTGACGGTGCGGCGCGGTAACGCGGGGGATCGGGTCGACGGTAAACAAGTCGATTGACTTATACAGAGTGTCTCAATAATTACGGTTTAATAAAAGAGAAACTATAGATACAATAACAAATATTTATTAGCTCATATGTAGACAACGTAATGCTTCGTACAAGCGGTGTTTCTGGTCCATGAGATTTTCTACTTCATCGCGTTCGAGGATAATTTCGTCGCCATGATCCTGTTTCAGTATCAACTCACAGCTCTCTTCTTCGTTCGAATAGATCACCTCGATACTGCCCCCGATGTAGACTGTTATATCGTTCCAGAACATGATTTCTCCCACCTCGTCCTCCAGTAAGAACAAAAAATCCCAAAAATCCTGAACTTGAAAATCTATGTGCTTGTTCGTGAAGATGAACCGGCACCTGAATTCTTTATTTCGAAAATCGTATTTTCATCGATAGTGACCACTTTGTTACACATTGCGACAAACAGACTGAATTCGGTATCAAATTCAAATGTACTTATATATCAACAACTATCGGTGTAATTAAGCGAGATATTTACATTTAGTCAATTTGAATAAGCATTTTGCCAAAAGAAGCAAACAAGCGCACGTAGTTACATATAGCGGGATTAAAATAGTTTTTCGATCTGCCGAGATGTTGTATTCGTTACCGCAATTGTCGTCAACGCCGCCGCTGGTGTGATTGGAATTCTTGACAGCGATCGTTTGCCATTCGCCGTGGTCTTCGTAGCTCCGGTTCGCGAAAACCAAACGTACCTTGTAATTTAAATACGGCTTATCTGCGGTAATGTTATTCGACAATGTCACGCTAAAAGTTTGTAGCTTGTCGATTCCGTTGACCTGAGCGAGTTGCATACGCGTCCACGTATCGGGCCAAATGCACCGATTATTATGGTTTTTGAAACAAACGAACGCTTCAGTCACATCGTTAGGTTTATGTAAATAGAAAACGTTTTGTACCACAGCAGACAACAAAACAAAGCGAGCACTTAACAAAACCATGTTTCTAGCCCGAATAAAACTATCCTAGATCGCGGTAACTGCTTTTATAACACTCAAACAATAATGACATTTATTCTGCATTTTGTTGTCCGGTCTGTTATAGTGAACAAAGCAGGGCAAATGAGTTTGCAATTCAAAATTGTTGCGATGTCGTACTGGTAATTTATGCCACATATTTAACAAATCGTTGTGAAAGATCGATAACTTTCTTAACAAATCCCTAATTTGTTTAAAGACACTCTCGGTGGGACAATTAATTCCGACAGGACTCAAGTCTATTTCACCGACTCTCGTTAATTTATTCAAAATTTCGTTGTATTCGTAATACGTTTTTCCTTTGAAAAAATACAAATGTCCGTTGGTGTATCGAAACGCGCCCGACAAATCGTCGGGCAGACCCGGAAACAGTTCCGTAGTAAAACCGTGTTCACTCGCACTCAAAGAACACTCGTCTATTTCTGCATAGTAGCGTTTACCGTAAAATATATACGTTCGACCACCATACGTATTAAAAATGGCGTTCACTGTTTTACACTCAGGCACACCCAATGCATGTCCTAATATGTTACCCCTTCCGTCGAAAGCAAAAGGACAGGATTCGTTCCCTTTACATCTTATGCTTTGTCTGTGGGTAGTATATTTGTCAGACATAAAAATCATAATATCCGGCTCTGAGTAATTTAAGAAAAAATTTAAATTTGATTCATCACTCCATATTTTAAAAACCTCGGCTGCCAGCACTTTTAACTCTTGATAGTGACTGGGCGGTACTTGAATATACCAATTTAAATCCGTTTTCTGCCATCGCGAAACAGTCGTGAAGGCATTTTCTATTTCACCACATCGGGGTTTATTTATTAGTTCGACGGTTTCGTTATTAAGAGTACCATCCACCGGTAAATTATAGAAATCCTGAAAATCCATTAGGGCACGTTGTAAACTCGACGCATCGATCTGTGTTAAAGATTCGTTGTCGTTAGGTGAAAGGAATCCGAATTTTTGTAAATATTCAATCACACCTTCCTCAGGCAGCGCGGCGACTATCGTCGACACGTCCGAACAGGTAGTAAAGACAGCGTAGCATAGCAACAAGACTCTCATCTCGTTCAAGGTCAGTAAAATACTAAAATATATTCGGTTCCTAGCTAATTTTTTATAGGTAAAATAACAAAGAGAAGTG